CGCACACACAAGGTCGAGGCTGAATCGCTTAACTTCCTAGTTCGCGAATGACAGATATCACTTCTGCGTCCCACTCGCTGTTGATAAGCTTAAAAGGAACTTTTCTGCTTATACGTTCAAAGAAATAGAAGATCTCTTTTTCAACATATCTTTTCTCTAGTTTATTGGTGCGATAAGCTAAGCCCCTATCTTACTTTTATCATTCGGCACGTGTTGAAACGTCTCTCCGCACGTTATTGCATGTGAACGAGTATGTGCGTATTTTGCGAAATATCCGGATAAAAATATTCATGGCCAGACTCAAGGTCTTGCTGCTTTTCTGATTAGAACTACCGCGATAAGGAACCGTGCAGATTAAGCAATTTAGATCTTTTTCTGAGCAGGCTAAGGTACATAGTTCCTTAATTGTAAATGTTTGCAAGAGTTTGAAAAAACAATAACTGTTCGTCAACTGATTTGTAGTTTTCGCAAGGTTATTATTAATGGCTAGGTATCCGGTATTGGCGTGTGCAAGAAATATAAATAGAAATGGTGCTCAATAGTTTATGAAATGTTATATACTGCAATGGTTTTTGGATAATGTCTAAAAATAACCTAGCTTCGAACGAAACTGGTCAGCTACGATTAACTTCAACATTTGCATTGCATTCAAATCATAAATAATCAGTTGATAAATTAAAACATGTTGTATCAGAACAATATTAACGGGTACGTTAAGGAGTCCTTAAGGACCGGTAATGGTAGGCGACCATGTAGAATTAAAAACAATAGGCAGTAAGCACACACGCGCGGCTGATGCGGCAGGGCTGAAGCCAGGGGCGACCTTGCTAGATGACATTGGCGAGCGCGGCCGCTTCCTGTTATCTCATTTGCGATACTCCCCGACAGTCGCGGCCGGTTAATCATTATTGGAACAAAGAATGTCCACTCACGGCAATTGTAATTAGCACGCGTCGCCCTTGACGCGTGCATTATCTCGTCCGCCTCGGTCACCATAGTGGAACACGTCACAAAGGGCTTTTATTAACTAGTTGTGTACACATAATGACACAAACAAGAATGTTTTCCTCGATCATTGTGTCTGATTTTTATGCACCTTCAGTCGTGCGGCCGGGAAGCTGTCGTCTTCGTAAAGATACTAAATTGCAATTGTCTCGCTTATGGTTGAGTTGAGTTGTTATTGTTATGATTGGATATTTAAATTCAGACACCAGTCTATATCTGATATTTACTATGTTTCATGTGCCTGTGGCACATGCAACATAATAAATATCGACGTGTTACGAAATCTGCTCACCTTTACGTACAAACAGTACACATCCTGTTTATACGTTGAATCGTACGGAAACTAACGAATGTACTATAATCATAGAAGTCGACGTAAATAGAGACACGTGGCGCTACACTATGGAATAAACCGACAAATGGAGCGGCAACGACAGCACAGGGCAACGTCATAGTAATACCGAGTGCGCAGAGGCGACCGCGCAAACATGTTTACCGTGCTCACAAAGTTCAAGGCCCCGGCTAACGACAACTGCGGAACAATGTACTTTCCATGCGGAGGTTTCCTCGAGGACACGCCACTGAACTGCGAACGTGCAACTGCCGTCTTGACCCACGCTGCGCCAGGCAAGGACGCCATCGCTTCGAGAAATTGAATTATATGAACAGTTATTATGAAAACATAATTGTTTCGTTTTCTAAATTTTCTAATGTTAATATATATGGAAAATATAATGTTAAAAAGCGATATTCGAATAGTTCATGTAGAGAGATTTTTAAACAGTTAATCTCTATGCAATAGAGTCATATATACTGCCGCAGCACGAAGATATGTAACAGATAAGTTACATATCTTCGTAATCTGATGATTAAACTTATCATCAAGTGTAAACGCTATAAACAACATTGTTGTAATTTAAACATTAATTAGCTAAACTAACGTAGTACTTTTCACCAGACTATGATGCATAACTTCCAAAAACATGTATGATTACCATACGGAATTGTTGAGTGATTTTCTTTTAAATTTCTTGCATATATAATTCGAATCAAGGATTATTGAAATCATACAGTTTTAAAAGATACAAATATGGGTTGGGATGTGAAATTAGTCCTCAATTGTAGAGCTAATAGAAATTAAGTTTTCGTAATCTGAGATTTGTGCGTGCGTGCGTGCGTACGTGCGTGCGTGCGTGTTTGCGTGCTCGCGTGCGTGCGTGTGTGTGTGTGTGTGTGTGAATAGCATGTATTGGAATGCCTTGAAATTGAGCCTATATAATACGTAGATATCTCCAATGAAAACCTCATTCAAACCTTAAGAAGAGCGTTAAGGCGCTGCAAAGGAACAGTGTTACACACAAACACAATTACTATTACTACTGATACTAATCAGTGCAATACATTTAAATGTCGACACAATTCTGAAGCGAATAGTTGTTAACGGGTGGTGGAACGCAACGGTATGCCAGTCGCCAGCTGTTCGATGGCCACCTGCAGAAGCCCTTAAACCATGTTTTTACGAATGCGCCTCCCGGCCGAGCCGCTTCCAGGTGTTTCGTAATCTGAGCCGCTCAATTCATTGAAATTGCACATCTCAAGCTCCGGCGTTGCTGACCTCATTTGTTTTTTGCCACGCCATGTGCACGGCGCTTTTTTCTCGAAGTGCAACACCGTACAAGTGAGTGCGGCTTGTCAAGTTGAATACTTATATTCATTACGTCTGTTGGTTTTATACAAAGCTTTGTATTTTATTCAGCCTTGATAGCTCATTGTCCGAGCGCTCGCTTTTATATACTCGAGTAACCTAACTTCGATCTGATCCTAACTCGGATCGTTGTTAATTTTATGTGCTGACTTATCACTTGCTTAACGTTGAAGGAAAACATCGTGAGAAAACCTACATATTTTCAAATATTAAAAAAACTTTATTTAGTTTTAAAAGGCATTATAAAAATAAAGATAAAAAATTATATTTGTGATAATTTTTTTTTTTATTTTCATGACGCAATTCGTAAGCAAATAGAAGTCGCTCATAATTAAGTATTCACGAAGTCATTAGGAGTCATTGAAATGTTTTCGTGTAAAAAAAATTTAAGTGTTAATGGAATTTATAAGTTATTTTGTACTAAATTGGATAAACACGTACATGTGGAATTCAACATTAGGAATTCAACATTTTGCAAATTCAACATTGTGGTCCTGAAGGGTATATTATTGTTATGTTGTCGCGACATCTAGCCATATCTGTGTAGTCGATGTTAGAAATTGTGAAACAGATTGACAATTGAACGATTAGACCGTACGACTTTCAAATAAACAAAGCACTTTATTTAAAAATCATTATACGCCAATTTACGTCCAGCTTTATACAAAATTCGCGCATTTTTATTTTGCAAATAGATTCAGGAAAGAATCGTCGAAGGTCACTATGACGCTGGTTATCACCTTGCTCCAGCGACAAACCTGACGTGATTTCTTTACTACTTAGCTTTTAATTTTATAAATATTGCAATTATACTTTAATTTAAAAGCTACAAAAGGTCAATTAAAAGCTACTTGCATTAAAATGTTATATTATATATTATATAATCATTTTTCGATAAGTATAATGTATATATATCATCATCATCATCATTTCAGCCTGCTTGAGTCCACTGCTGAAGATAGGCCTCCCCCATAGACTGCCATGAAGTATATTTATTATATATATTTGTGTGTATATGTATATATTATACTTATCGAAAAATCAGCGTTTGTTTGTATTCTATGTTATATTTCACGCTTAAAATTTTCCTATTTTGCATTATTACTTCTTCGACTCATCACATTAAATAAGAAAAACATTTATAAATAAACAGAGGACTTAAGTTCAATTATGATGTATTAAACAAATTATTTTTTTATATATTTTATATTTTATTACTTAAAATTGCCCCAGCTGATGCATAAATTTCATGAGCAAAACTAGGATTGTACAAGTTCCTTGGGTTCCTGGCATTGGTTAGTTTCTGCCTATTTACATCACTATGGGTTGGTTACCTTCACACAAACGGGTTAAGGTCGAAAGAACACGTCGGCTACAAGAATAGAGGTTGGTTTCTATTGTAAAATAAAAATGTTCTCATTGAACACTGGAACGATCATTTCCTCAGTGCTATATACATAGGCTATGTAAATTACACTCGTCGGTTTGTAATAATAAACATTAAGTAAGTTTAGTTACAAAGTGTAACTACATTGTTATTAACTAGATACAGAACACGGACAAAATAATACAAAGTTATCTCAATGGAAATTATCAAAATATTTCTTTATACGCTTCAAACTAAAAGAATCATTAATAACCGACTGATTTTTTTTTGACAAATACCCTCGGAGTTTATTAGGTGAAATATTTTATGAATCTGAAAGCGAAAAAAAAAATGTCTTATTAATAAAATAAAATTAGCATACATATGTTTAGGAGCTGTGACGTGATATTAGATATTTTAAAGGAGTTTTTCGTGTAATCAGATGTAGATGTGAAAAAATTAACCAATGCTATTGGAGTGTCCACAACATTGGTAAAGTTAATAAAAAAAATAATTTAACGCATGTACCCAACATTTTTATGAACAAAGAATTAAACCGAATTCAAATATCGCATTATACATTTTCTATTTGATTTTGAGGAGTTCCCTGAAGTATTTCAGGAGTCCAAGGTAAATTGAGACCAGATGGAAGCCCAACAGAAACCAATGCAAAAAGATTTATTTTTAAATGATGGAGTTCCGAGGTAACAAACGTACTACCGAATTAATAACCTATTCAATTTTGAAGTCAGCTTAAAACGAATTTCGGTAGAGTCACAGAAGGACAATAGGGGTGGCAGAGCGAGGCGTTGCCTTACGGAAACCCGACACTAGCGCGTGAGTGCGAAGCGAGTGACGGGCGCGGACGGCCCTGACTCTTGAAATAGTCTTCCGCATTAACGTCGAGAGCGAAAATATCGCATGATGCTGCCACAAGGCCGCGGCGACGGCGTTCGTCCTCCGGCCTGCACGCCTTATAAGGGCGTAAATACACGGTAGGCGTTTGATATCGAATTGACATTTAGAGAACACCTCGAATTAATACTGTCAGAAAAGGTTACTTCGAATTTCACAAAAATAACATCGCGTTCAACAGTATTGCGTAATGAATTTATCACAATACAAGAATGGAAACCCCAAAACCATAAACTAAAGTTTGATCGCAGAGAAAAGAAGTTCCTCATAGTACACACGGTGGAACACTTTAAATTTATCGCCTGTGGAAGGTTGCCTGTGCTGCTAACGGCAAGCGAGCTTAGGTCTTAGAATAGTTTGCTTTGAGACTTCCTAGTAGACATCAAGGTCTAACTGTTGACTTTGTTCGGAGTAAATAATACGAGTGAATGGCACATAACTGTACACTGACCAACGCAGTTTAATACGTCACGCGTAACCTCAGTCATCCTACAGTATTACTATTCTGTAGAAGAATTAACGAAGTGTTTACGGATGCGACGAACAGATTTAAATGATGGAGCATTGCGAGAACATTGATTGGCAGATACCGTAGTGAAGCCAAACGGCACCTCCTGCTGTGGTATGATAGCACCGACTCTTACGGGAAGTTCGACGACCAGCATAAAAAAAGGACACAGGTATTGCGTGTGTTCACTATGAAATTAATTACTGTATCACACATCACTATGCAATTAAACACCAGGTGAACCACGTTCTCTCATAATAAAAACTGGTGTTTAACCCACCACGTAGCTTCGACTAACGAACGTTAGTCTGTCAAGTCTGTTAATATCGCTGCATGCTCATATTCCATTTATTACACTGTATTTAAGGTTTTTTTCAACATACACATTACGCGCAAATAGCAGATTTGAAAAACATACCAGCGAGACAACCGGGATTTATCCAATAATTTTCGGGGCTACTATACTATTTTTTGTAAAGCGGGACTACATCTGGCTTCACAAGATTTCTTCTTATTCTTAACCAAACTAGCCCTTAGTCTGTACTTAACGCGCGAATTTGTTTCGCTAGTCACAAAGTAAGTAACAAAACAAATAATAATAATATTACAAAACATAAAATTTTGTTAGTTACAAAGTTCTTTGTTACTAACCAAGTTTAGTGTCTTCAAAGACCTTACATCATCATGACCCTCAGCGTAATCATATAATGGTTTGACAAATAAGCTCATATTATTATTCTGACTAGTCACCACATGATCTACAAGATGCATTGTAAACGGAAAAATCTTTCCATGCCCCATGCAAGCAGCGGAATTCTAATAGCAGTGTTTAATTATTGCACAGGTTTCAGACGGAATACGTCATGGCCTTGCGCCGAACTTACCAACTGTACTATTCGACGTTTGTTTGAAGTCGTAAATCAACCGGCCCGCTATAAACAAACTGCCCACTCCGCGCGAAAAACCGACGCTCGGAAAAAACGCGCGCCTGGCCAATATTAACAGACTCGCTGAAAATTTTAATGAGACCGTCAATGTTTCTGTGCCAAAAATGCCGTTCTAGCATTAATTGTGCTACTAGCCGACGAACTCTTTGTTAATTAAACGTGCATTGTATGTAACCTTTCTAGAGGACAAGTCGCATTTAAAAAAGAAAATTTTTCGCAGGTCGCATGGTGTGACTTTATTCATTTCTTTGTATCGCTTATCTGACCTTCATGAAAAAACTTTAAGACTGATAGGATGTAGGAAGTAGAGATACTTGTTTATAAAACTACAATTACTTAATGAAGGAATTTAAAGTCAAGTATGCGACAATTGCATCTCTGTCTGCAGTGAGTGAATGTAATCGTAGTAAGACGTTAACTCTGCATTATTACTACCCAGTTCATCGAATTCCTGCCACATCGGATTTTAACGCTGACGTATTCCGAATAATTTGCTAATGTCCTAGGTTCAAAGCCCCTAAGAACTGCGCAGTGATCCAATTGTTGTTATATAGATTTTGATGTTCTTTGATGATCTTTGTATTTTGAGTTGAGAAATATTTTTCTTCTTTATATTCATTTTATTCGCAATTCATTGTGTGCTGGTTTTAAATAATCAATTTATTAACATCCATAAATACAATAAAATAGTAAACACAGTGATTTTAATACAATGCGCATGTGTCGACAAGCACAAATTTTGAGATTTGCTATTTTTTTGCAATAACAACCTTGGATTAAGATATATAACTTCCGCCTTTATTCGTAAAATGCCTTATTAAACCGCTAGTAAGGTAACAGATGAAATACGATCTGAACAGATGAAATACGAAGCTAGATTCAGACATGAGTGGAAACAACTGGAAAAGGCCTATATATCACAGGTCACTTTGAACACTGAACCGTGTGAAAACCCGATGAGTTAAAGTTCTTTAATACCTACTAGTAAGCACATGTGTTTAGTTCTTCAGCAATAAAGCCTTAATAATAAAAGCTAACGTAATGAGAGATATATATTCAAACATCCGAAATACTCAGCGATGTAGAAGCCCCATTAGTGATCAGATCGCACGTACTGAATACTGTCAAATACGCTTTCTTCCCTCGATGCTGAGATCACGAGTTTGTTTGGCGCTTCGGTGCGGTCACGTTGGCGGGAACAGCCGCCCGCACGCATTATTTCACGTGGCCAATCGGAGGCAAGCTCTCGCCCGTGTCACATTTACAACCCGACACCTTGCAGGAAAATCACCACGAAATTCTCGAATTCGATCTGAATAGACATCCGAAACCCGATTGACATGACCTCTTGAAACTCTGAACGCTTCCTGTCTTGAGTAAATACTGGAACGTGTCTTATGACCAAAATGCGTAACTTGCATTTGACCTAAAAGAAATTACGAAGCTTCGTATCAATATTATATAATCTATGCTTATTATGCGAATACATAAATAAAATTAACACATAAAGAATTAGTTATATCACTCATAGAGGTCATTGATATTGCATATTATTGATTGTCATTTTTTATGATTCTTGCAGGCCTCTTTTGCATATTCCATGTACAAACACACAAATCTGATTCTCCATATGGAGAATCTCACACCTTTTTATACACATCTGAATCTAATAGTTAGTAGAGTTACCATAATAATCGCTCATCGTGCATAATGAATTGAAATAATCTTAAAAATATGATTGCGCATTTCCTCAAAATTATTTTTGATAATCAAAGGAACTTGACATTTATATAAACAAAAAACATTTTCTTAAATCAAAGCACTTTACGTTGGCTTTTATTGCAAAAAAAGCTTATAACGATAATTCAGTACGATAATTTATAACTAATTTATCGCATAAAACTTGATGTCTGTTTTCAAAAATAAAGTGTTTTATAATTCATAAGGCTTAAAGACGACAAAGAAAAAACTTCACCAATCTTTTCTCGGAGGAAACCTCTTCAAAGATTGCGCGGACGGTGTGTAAACCCGACGTTGAAATATCGCATCGGACTATAATCGTTCTGCTTTAAAGTTTATTTCGAGGCGTCTAATTCGAAAAGCTCGATGAGGGGACGGTCATTGAGCCCGTTATTCATGCGCGCCATTTGTCACACGTTTCCGCGGCAAAAAGGCGATGAGTCGCTGGAAAAAATGGGGGTGACGCGTCGTAAGCGAGAATCGCGGGTGACTGACCAACGGAGGACACGGCGGTGGGTTTCGTGTTGCGCTGAAACACGAGAAATTGGGCGCTTTGTTACGAGAGAATGTAAACAACGCGGCCGGAAGTGTGTCGCAAACGGCCCGCTGAAATCTGTTTCGCTTTCTCTTCGTTTAAACGCGAATTCCGTCGGCCCGTCGATGTTAGGAAGCAGCATCACCCTCGATTTATTCATCCGTCTTCCAACACCGGTAAGAGAAACCGAATTATTCCATGGCAACGTTTAATTGTCGTTTCATTTTACAATTAAGTCACAAAGCTTCGGCCAGCGGGCGCGGGCGCATCGTGACGCGGCACGGTACTCTGCCCTGACCCACATTTTGATGATTGTATGTAAATTGGGGGTATGTCCATAAGTCGATCGGGCCGTGTGTATGACAGCATCCGTCCGTTTTCTCCACCCATCGCGGTCGCGGCATCCCCGCGCCGAATGTCGTAGAGAAATTGAGGTGAGATCTCTTGCAATACCGCGTGTGATATCTGCCCCAGTGACCAACTAAGATGCAGCGTTCGCGGCCCACTTAAACGCGTTACCATTATCCATTACAACGTAATAGAGCGATTACATGCAATTGTTCCATCCGAATTACTAGAATGTGAGGGATATTACCGCCCAAGTGTGCAAAGTAGCTTTGTCTATTTCATTACCAAATTCATGACGAATTTTAAATAAAACAGGATAAATATAAACACAAAAAGGGAATAAATACAAATAAAGAAGAATCATAGAGAAGAGCTTTTTACTAGAATCGAGTCCTCGACAGTAACCAGTTTATCATCCGATGTCACCGTCTTGTATCGATCGGAATTCTCGAAATTTACGATGTGAGACTCAGTGGAGTGATATCAAGATAGCGAAAACTACGTTACCAGCCAAATTGCATTTAAATTAGAAATATGTTTCATTCTGTGACCTGATTATACAATTAATGATCTTTTGTTTAACGTTAACTTGTATACAAGAAAAAACCTCAAGACTTTTATGTCTCTTTGTGTCACCCGTAATTTTTGTTTTTCAGTCAAAGGTCATTTTCTGGTATCCTTTAGGCGACCAGTATTTTCGAAATAAAATGGGTAATAATAATTGAATCAAAAGTATCATATAGACCCCCAAAAATTAAATGTTGAGGGTGTTTGAAATTTGATCAGAGAGTAATAGTAATTGATTAAAATAAAAAAGACTACAGAAATGCACTAATCCTTTAATAAGACCTTACCAAATATAGGGCAATAACTCTGATACAAAAAACAATTGAAATGGAATTAATTCTGATTTATACATACATATCATTAAATTCAGCAAAACCTTAACAAATTACTCGCTACAAAAAGCGGGAAGTCGCGCGTATACGAATACTGATTCCGACTGAAAGCGAAAACATTAACGCGATCATAAAAAAGTGCGATTTGAGACAATCATTAATTTGGAACTTTATACGTAATAGTTTCAAGAGCAGCGCGGCGGAATCATTAAGGACGAGGTCCTTTCTCTCAGCTCATCGCGCCGCGCTCGCTCGTGAATTTCTCTCCGTGTCTGTGTCGAATTCGGGTCATAGGCGCCCAAGCACTGTGCCGGCTTACTTGGACACAATTACCCGCCAATTTCTCGTGTCATTTAATGTTTTTGTTTAATTTTCTCAAGTGAAAATAACATTAAAGTTATTTATATCTATCTTCATACAAAAAAATTAAAGAATGGGATATTCAATAGCTTTATTAAAGCTTTAATTTATAAAAGAAAAAAATAGGAAACAGCCCAAGTTTACTGTTTTTGTAATAAAATCGAAATAGACTCAAACAAATACGTTTATGTTCACATTACTTTTAAAAACTGCTTCAACTGTTGACCTGTGTGACCAGGATAATCATGAGATAAATCAAATATAATTCATCATTAAGGGCCCCTTAACTAAAGGTCGTTTTATAACTTTGATTGTGATTTTTTCTGTAAGTGTCCATACTTGTGATTTAATTAAATGTCAACATATTATGTTAAAGGATTGTATTTCACTAAGGGGGTTAAATGATATGCAGCGATATAATAAATTGCATCGTTAAAATGGTCTGCTAGAAGTGGCTGAATAAATGCATCTGGGTTATAGGAGAAAATGTAACCTTGAACACATCGCTCTCTGGATATAACCAAAAACACAGTACATAAAACATATAAGTAAAAAAGCTTTAAAAAATACTAAGCGATGTCGATTCACATTGCCATTCCAAAATAAATTATATTGTATTAAAAGAATGTGCTTGTTTATCGAGATAATATTGTAAATCCACAATTCACACTCAGGCTTAAGATGTGTGAGTCTTGAAGCTAAGCTACAAGCAAGGCTGGAGCTGTATCTGAGGGTTTCTAAGTATTTCAATATATTGGCGGAGAAAGACCTCGAAACGTCAGTGACGTAAGTCAAAGGCCCTACGTGGTAACTCGACATTTCTATAGCACGTGTAAACCACATATACGATCCCCTTATCGATAACAATAAAAATGAGTCGTGCGAAATTTTTATTACGGTTTTATGTGTTTTTTGTCCTTAGGATTATGAGAAGCGATAAGTGAATATTATTTTTAAAAATAGAATCGAAAGACATCAATCATGCGCAGTAGAAAGTTTCAATTACTCAATGCTTAAAAATCTTTTGAAAAATAGCGTAAAATTAGTAGTACTTACTAATACGTCTTATGGTTAATAATAAAAATACTTCTAAATTTCATATTCAGAAAACATGTAAATTGTCTTATGTTTGTTAGGTTAAAAATGTTAAGGGGAAATTTAAAAACAGTGGAGTAACTAAGCTACGTATTTTCGGTTTGGAATGATATTTTCAAGTTAAGTTTATAAACGTAACAAGTTGATATAATAACATTTTGTAAATGTTTGCACAGCATACAAAGATATAAACGTATTAGCTTCGTATTTATTTAAGCGCCACCGTTGAACTGTTACTGAATTTCAAAAATACCACAAAGTTTCAAATTATATCACAACATCGCATTTCTTAGTGTTACAAGTATATTTCGAAGTATGAAAAGATATTATAGTTGTTTTTCTTTACCCTAATTTGTATAATGTAATTTTTTTTTTTAATTTTACCCCATTTCATATACAGTGACTTGTAAAAACATGATACATACATAAATGTAAAACAGTCTAACATTGAATACTAGTATCTAAGTAATAAATACATACATTTATGTATGAGGGAAACATCACCAAAATTGTGTTTTTTTGTAGGTAACAAGCCGACGGTTCACCTGATGCTAAATGATAACCGCCGTCCATTGACGTTTTCAAAACCCGTAGTAACATAAATTTCACACGCGGATGTGAAACAACTATCTGTGGGTCGCACAAATAGTTGTCCCGTGTGGGAATCGAACCCACGAACCCCGACGCCGAAGCCAATACCTTGGCAGATGCGCCACAGAGTGATCAATTGTGTACTTAACATGAAATTTGAGAAAACTATTTAAAATGCAAATAAAAGAGCGACGGTATAAATTCCAATTGTCAAAAACAAAACACAAAAAAAGCTATTTTTAGTGGTGAAACAACTTAGAAATACATAATCAATGTCTCATAAGCTGTGCTATGCAATGTAATTTTTCATGCGTAATGCAAAAAATAATTATAGGTGACGATTTTAATCGTCAATGCTTTAGCATTATCTAAATTTTGCACGACCTCGAGGATCGAGGCGTGGTCAACTAGCTTCCTGGTTAGCCATTCGAAGATAGGGTAATCGTTTAGAATGTCAAGTTGATATTTTCGCGCGGCCATGAACACTCAAGGTCGGCCGTGTATTTTTGCCAGCAACGCCGATAAGCATCGTAGAAAGTGATTCCGATCGACGATATTTATCTGGCTGTAGTCCAAACGTAGGTGCTTGAAACGTTTTATCTCGAATTTATTTCTCTGCTGCGCTCACAGAGTTGTTGAATTCGCGAATTGTTCTAAAATAGCTGTCGTTGTCAATACGTGTCCGGGTAGGTAAGACGGTACGAAAATTTAAGGTGATGACATTTAATTGGACAAGTAAACCATTTCAAGCATAAGGTTTTGCGCAATGCAAAAAACATTTTAGTAATATAATTCGCGAAATACCTAATAAAATATTGTGGCGCAACGAAATAATGCGCGTAGAATATTCTTCTGAATGATTGACGTGATTTAATTCGTCGTTCAAAACTAGCTATGACGCGCGTCGTCGAGTCTCGAATGTTGTTCGGTTGCGTAGGCTTAATAGGCTGTGGTCCCCGTTTAGGCTAGCAGAGGCCAGGCACAATTGGGCAGCGCCGGTCGGATTGGCGAAACGATACGCGGAAGCGGGCGAAGCGTTGCGGCTCGCGCCACGCTATCGGTCGCCATCGGTATCTGGCCGCGTTATCGCGCGGGCACCTCGACGAAGGTCTGCCGGAGGTCACGCGCTGACGTCACGCTGATAACGATTTGCGCGGTGACCTTGTCGCGCGCGCCGAATCTCAAGGTTGCCGCTATTTGTACAGTCTGATAGGCAGTCACTGCCTCACCCGGACATTCCTCGACCAAACTATTTACGGAGCCCCCCTCCGCCCTGCCCTCATGACTTTAGTTCGCCCCTCACGATGAATATCTTCTTACCCATTGACTATGGTCCCATAGTTATATTTTCAACAACGCTTTTGTTCAATATTGGATCGATCTTTTATTGGGATTTAAATATTGTTCTGTTTTTAATCTAGAAGGTATATAAAGTTCAGCCTTATTTGCACCAAAAATCATCTATTTGTGAACCAATATATATTTTGTACGCTCTATTTAAATAATACACCGATAAATTTTGCAACGCTTGAGTGACAGATAACGCTGATCGCAGTTCGCGGAAACTATCAAGATGGGACTGAATTGTACTGGCGAACATGAGACGGCCCTCGGTTACATTCTACGACAGTGTTGCCACGCGATGTACTACATTGGACACTCTTTCATCATCCCGTTTAAAATATACCAGCTTTACATGTGAATATTTAAGTTTATTCTTCAAAACAGCTATAATTTTCATTATAAAGCTTCGATCTATCAATCTACGTAATACTAATCATACGTAGGTACACCACAGAAGTTCAATGTTTCACACCCTCAAAAAATTAATCTTCGTTTTTTTTTTCGCCAACATTAAGTTATTTTTATTTATTTAAACGAGTATCCCTTATTGTATATGTAATGTTTGAATTACAACAATAAAACAGGTTTTTATTTTTCTTTTGAGACTATGATAATTGTAAAAATTACTGTATTACGCGCGCATTACTACATAAACTACGTGTTGAACGCGATGGCAAAATACATAATGCCGAACATAGAAATTTGCATAAGGCAATACGACAAAAGTTTCATTCATGAGCCGAAAATAATTTCAAGTATACCTACGTCACCAAACTTCTAGATGGATACGCAAAATTAGTTTTATCCTAAATATTTAATTTCAAAATCTACCAGTACAATACATAGTCTTGTGTTGAATTTGACTAATTATTAAACAACTAATTTATAATTTAATCCGCCATAGAGATAGCACATGTTGTCACACTATTGTATCATAAACGATAACCTTGGAATTTGTCGCAGCACGGAAGAGCTGCTATGTAAATTAATATATATTCAAGGATAAATATTAGTGTAAAATTTTTATTTTCGATAACTTCAAACAGGAACAAAAAACACGTCACTGTTAAACGATCATAAGAAACCATTAATTGACATAAATTCTAAAGTACCTAACATACAAAACTAAAAACAAACTGTTTTTATAGATATTTTATTACATTATTATATATTTTTTTTTAATTTTTATAATTTACGTATTTAGTTCAAAAAAATATTTTCACATTCATTTACATTGCAACATTGATGGTCTAGAACACTGAATTGGTGTTTTAATTAAAATTTTATTTTAACAACAGTAGTAAGTAGTAATATTAGTGGAGCCATAACAGCCTTTGCTTAAATATTAACTCTGCACAGTGTAGGGTATGCATACGTCATATTTATCCATCGATACCTAATAATATCGTCAAATGAAAAATGATCATAAATGTTTACAATTTTCCGTTTAACTAAATTCTTCTCCATGATTTAGTTTCCCGAAATATATACTTTTGTGGTTAAATTACAACAATAATTTTAATTTACTACAATAAATAAAACAAAGGCACTTCGCTAATTACGGGAAATCAAATGGAATTCTACTGACATCTCGTAATGTAAGCAGAGACAATAGCGAAATACATATAACATGTGGATTCATTAGCTAAGTCTACAATTCATTTCCTGATTAAATTCAAGGTTGTATGTGTACAAATATAATATGTATAAACAGAAACATCTCCGCAGTATGAGCGGCAATAATCTTTTATTTACTGTAGCAAACATTGTTGCCATGCGACAATTTCCGAGAGAAAACTACTAATTACATAAATGCTACGATTTAAAATTAAAAACCTAACGTGCTTCACGCATTTCTTAAATATATTATTTGGGCCGTAAAGATATAGGCAAAAAAGTCTCTAAACTAATGTGACTGATCCGTTTTGTCACATCAATCAGCAGAATTTTTCTGAATTACATAATATATTATTTAAAATTTGTAGAAAATAAGACTAAAAGTTTATCGCCGCTGCTACAGTTGAACCTACGTCTTCCTGGTCATGCCATAGTTACTAACTCAGTGGCTAGAGCGTCTATCCTCGCAGATTTAAAAATCAATATCATATAAAAATATTGTAAAATGTAATTGGAAATAGTTAATTAATGCGGCAGTGATTTCACCAGTTCACTGCTTCGGCGACAATCATCGGTGAGAGTCGTCGATGCCCATGTAGAGACAAAACAAAGAACAACAACAAACTATGAAGATAATGATTTTTACACTTTGCTATTACCTCTCACCTCCTAATAGTGGACCCTAGACAGCTTCATTGATTATAATTATGTTTTGGTCCGATCTACGCAGAATGAGCTTGCACTGATAATTAATTTTATAAATTAAAGTTGGTAATGAAGGTATTCGCTTAACTACAACACAACTGCAAACATAAAATCAGTAACTTTCTGAATTGAATTAAAATATTCATCTCGGAAAGTTATTCCGGAAATATATAATGATTATATTATCACCGTAGGACTATCTTATAGTGATGTGTCTGCGTCGTCAACGTCCACCAATATCATTGTCATTGTCTAAAACAGTACACGTGATTATATCACGTGCTCTCAGCAATCTAAAGCAGAGATTAATTTGGATTCACTCTTTGGGGCTGGAAAAACAATAAACAAACATTTCTATTACACCTATCCCACGCGTCTTAGAAAAACCATGTCATTTATTGGATTGTTAAATATAATTACATATTAAATACTCCGCACTTATGATCATTTTCTTTTTTTAAATACTAACCAAATTTTCTGGGTAAGTGGACTCATCTCGTATACTGCTTATGCAGTTAACGTATTATTTTTCTCTTTTATCGACCATTAAGACTCAAACAGATGGCGCCGGGTCGCCTTGCGTTGTACACCGCAGTCACTGGTTGGTTACGCAACTCGCGCGCCACCGCGTGAAGAGTGAAGTTCAATGTCACGGCGAGGCGAGCACACAGGCGCCGAGCGGGCACGTTCTTCAGACGTACTCACACAAACACACAAAAATACATACACACACACGTCCGCCGCTCGCTCCCGCGATATACGAACAATCGCGGCCAACCCGTTACTCGCCTCTATCAGCGCTTCCCGGAATAATTCGCGAAAACACGATTTTCCTTTGTACGCGGCGCTGCAGCGTTGTCGATGAAATAGTATTTTTGCGCAAGGTCATGGTAAAGTCAAATCGCTATTTTGAAATCAGCAGTTTGTGGCGTCACGTCCTCACGCTTCGCAACCACGGGCTGTTTCTTCTGTAAAGCCTAGTAGAAGTGTCGGTTCCGATTCTTCGTATGATATTGCGCCGTTTTAGAATAAGATTTATTATTGCAAGCTGTTCTGTTTATAGCTGTTTACTATATACAGAACAGCTATATCTTAGTGATGAATCACTGCACACATCCACGCGTGTCGCGAATTGCATCCATGTTTTTCATCGCAACGGGATCAGATACACATGCATCGTCCAATATAATTCAAGGAAAAACATACAATGTCATAAAGGTTATCGAAACGTTACTATCACGTCACTTTGATAATTTTTATTTAGTCCTTTGAAGTCAACTCATTGATCGACGTTTGATATTTACGAGTTATCGCATTAAAGATCTCAAGGTTGTGTGCCTACACAGTTCGCTTAGAAATTTGTACAATTAATTTTTTATGCGCATATTACTTGGAGAACCAAATATTTAGTTGTATCTGATTTTTAACCATACAAATAACTTTTCGGGGGTAGTTATAAACTTTTGTATTAATATTGTCTTTTAAAGGAACATGCGGATACAGCCCATGGAGATCTCAACAACTGTGCAGTTTATTTATAAGGGAATAATCAAACAAAACGAAAATGTATAAGTATTCACTTCACGTCAAGTCAGGCTGGCTCTATTCATGCAGCAGAAGCCGAGGCAACATAGTATGTTTTAATAAAACAAAGCATAAAATAATAAATGAAACAAGAAGTAAATAATTCAATTTTTATATGAAAATTTATCTATTGGGGGTTTTCAAGTTTTTAACTGTTATACGGCCAAGCAACAGTGTGAAGCGGAAGTAAGTGAGGTAACCGGGGCCAATTTCTGGGCTATTCATGGGCTGCGGTATTCACTTAACATCAGGTGAACCGTCTGCTCGATTAAGAAATTTTGACATATAAAAAGTTCCTCTTTCTCTTCGACTTCGTTTTCTTCTTTAACATTACTGGATTTTTATGTTTGAGAGAATAATGCTCACGGAAGAAGCTTTGCGTTAATCGACTTGACATTGATCTTATGTTGTTCTACTGTACAAAATGTTCGTTATAAAATGCAAACAAGAGCGAAGACGGGGTGGGCCAAATGGCGGCGCGCCTTTATGGTAGGTCAAGGGCGAATGGTCTCACTGACCTACATATCCGCTAATGTCCCTCGACGAGGCATCGGCGCCTGCCGGCCCATTGTCACATACCCCACAAGAGCAGTCAGCTGTTAAGCGAGCAGTCTGTTCAACAAATCACTAAACTTCATAATCATTAATTTCCTATAGCTCTATGTAGCAAATGCCCTCATTTGAAAAGTGCGAAAAATCTACCTAAGCGTAAGATAATCAGTAAAATATGTTTTAAAGGTAAATAATATCATTCACTTAATTTCATTCGAAGTACAAGTTTCTAAAATTCTTGAACGTGCACAAGAAAATGCATGTCACTTGGTGCATCTGTATCGTATTAATAGAAAATGAAAAAGGTCATCAAACACCTTAGGTCTCAAACCTTCTTAGGTCAGGGGATATAACGATTTTCTTAGACTATCTTTTTTTCTTTCTTTTTTTTTAAACAAACATTGCCCTTACATTAGAATAACAGTATCCTGTGTTGTAAGGACGTTTTACAAACACAAATTTCACGCGGACAAACACCCAGATGCGACACAATTATCTGTGGGTCACACAAATAGTTGTCCCGTGTGGGAATTCAACCCAAGACCCCCGACGCCGAAACCAATACCTTGGCAACTACGTCACGAAGTCATCAAATCTCTTTCCTACCCGGGCGTAAGAGGATTAAACCACACCTGATATCATTGAAAAGGATTCTAAGAATTCTAATCCAAACCACTTTTAGTCACAAACGTTGAGAACTTGGAAATAATCGATATGTACAGTTTCCATCAGTCAGTAAGATTTCCCAAGTGATTTTTTTTTCTATTTAGAATCGAAAAATTTGGACCGGTCCAAGAAAAAATCTATAGGAAATTTTGCGATACACTATTAAGTTTTAGAAGTTTGTTTCGTCCTGTGAGTGAGGTAACCGGCGCCTTGTTCTTTATAGATATAACGACTCGAAAAGCCAATTTGAGCCTATCACAAAAATAAATCAAAATCAGCGTTAACATGCAATTTAAGATTCAATCAAACAAATTGAGACTGGGTAAATCCATTCATTTACTAATAAATAAATCACTGTTGAATATATCTGTGTGCGGAAGTTGCGATGGATTGGATGTCGACGACAGCGCCAATGCCGCGGTGGTCCAGAATGGTCGTCGATCGGTGGCGCGACCCGCACGACCTTGCCGCGACCCCGACGCCCACTCGCCACCCCACTCCCCCGCGCCCCCAACCTCATAGGGCACTATAAGTTATGCAACCGACAAAAGTCGACCCTCCCCGAAGAGCCAATTCTGTTCGTAATTCCATCTCGCTTATCTACAATTTAGATTTCTCGATTTAAATAGAGTGGCTTTTACGTTAATCTGAAATTATAACTAGTTCATTTACACCCATCGTTAGGGTCGTCACTCGCTAGAAAAGTCACCCTTTTCAGGGCCACTTTTAATTTCATGCAACATTTAAGTTGATCCCGCGATCAATTTAAATGTTGGCTGTTTATATTGTACCCTTTTTAATATTAAACATATTTATATTTTATTAAACTACATCAGGGTTTCCTGATTTAATAGCTCCATAACTATATTCTAACGATAGTTTAAGTTCTGTGGCACTCATTATGATTTGATGTTTCTTTGTCATTATATTCAATAATTATTCTTGATGTAATAACATAAAAGTTTCCGTCTGAGTTATCTAAGAGCTGGTTACACATATATGTTTATTAAAATGTGTTGCAATAATGCAATATTTGCATAAAGACCTACTTATATCGACTTTTTTAATACGTACAAGAATATTCATTAGAAATAAATTAATTATGTTTCGAACATTGGCTATTATTATGGCCATTTAAAAGCAATTTCTAGAATGTTATAGTATGTATCAAATGGCGACCACCCTGCTGCTGGTCCAAAGAAGTCCGTGCAGTGAATAATTGTACAATGTAGAGTCAGGTCCAATTAAGAAGAAGAACAACGGTAGAAATTAAACAATTTCCGAAATATTAACGCGACAGTACATTAATACATATATAAATATTCAATCATTTTATATTAGTTTGTAGAGTTTAGTCCGCCCTCAATCCCTTCGCGTCTAACCTAGATTCTTACGCCAAAATGTCTGCTATCAAGGCCACCGCTTTCATTACCCCAAAACCGAGGTAGGCGTTTATTGTCGGCAGAGTGAAATTCAAATTGATAAAGGCTCTTTCACATAGTAAACTTATCGCACTTACGCAATGAGAACACGCTAGCTCGTATGTGTCCGAGGTCGAGGCCGGAGCATTTGCAAATTAACATGTCGTATTTTACATAACAAAACATTATTATTTTACGGCCTTCAATTTATTCGACAAAAGAAAAATAAGGCGTAATAAAAAAGAAAAAATAATAATCGTGTTCAAACTATCGTATATCTTTTTTTTATGCAAAGTGATAAGTTTATCGTATGTCAAGTCGAATCTCATCAACAAGCGTTTATGGTTGCACTTCGTAAATGAGTAAATTCAATGCAAATTGGGTACCATTAAATTCTCTGAGTACGTCGAACATATACATTGTATTGTATGCATTTATTAAACAATATTGCTCTAAGATAGAAAAAAAAATATTACAAAAGCAAAGTGCTTGTGTTTTATACATTATACAATTATTCTAACGTATGCGCAGAAGTTAGGTATACCAATATGATAGTGCCTGTAATGTCGGCACGTGTATCAGATGCAAGGTCAGGAGCAGGTGACGTAGGGGGCTCCCGACAGGCTTGTGCTATCACTCCCGGAAAAGCTCGCTTATCGATCGCGCACGTTAGATTCCACGCGCTTGCCCATTCGACAACCTGTTCCGAGAAATTTCCGTTTGATGTTTTAGATGTAAAAATGTGAGGTAGACGCTAAAAACTAATATTTAATTAAAGAAGATTTATTTTATTATAGTACGAAACATAATGTATTGTTAGAGGCACCACTCACTCTGACTGGATAATCTCAGCGGTACCAAAATTTAGCCGAAAAGGTATTTTAATTAGATTGCTCTTGACAAAGTTCATGCGAGTTAGTCGCTAATTTTGGTCTCTGAATGCACCCGCATGACATAATATGTATTATTTAAATAAATAATTAAACTTATATAAATCATCTTATAAGATTTTGTTGTAAGTAAATGATTAATAATTTCTGTTATTTTTCTAGTGCAGTTTTGCCTTATCTAATGGTTACTATCGATTAGTGTTCAGCCCTATTTTTGTATTCTTATTGGCTCCATAAAAATTATCTTTATCAACCGAAGCGACTTTGCAAGTTCCAAATATTGTCTGTTTTTAATGTGAAGTTTAGATTAAACTCAAGAAAATCGATTTTATAACTACATATATTATCATCGTAATTTTTTACCACTAGACTAGAATACATAATAAAACTTATGGAACTAGACTCTAAAATAAAGAAAATTGTAGTGAATTGCACAAGGTCGTATTAACTTTAGGATTATTTTATTGTAAACTAGCTGACTCGGCAAACGTTGTTTTGCCATATAAATTATTTCTCGTGGAATCGGAACGCACGCATAAAGTGTTTGACATGTTACACAGATATAGTTGACATGTTGACAGGTACAGTTTGTATGGGAAAATAAAATTGTTGCTATTTCGATTTTCCATGAAATTTTTCCATAATTTCTTATCGTTTAAACCTTCCCTGGACTGCCACGAATATATCAAATCCAAAATTAGCCAAATCGGTCCAGCCGTTCTCGAGTTTTAGCGAGACTAACGAATAGCAATCCATTTTTATATACAAGATATTCCTCTGGCCTAATCACACATACTTATAATCATTCCAATGTGCTGTCGTATAAAATAATAGTAATTATTATGAAAAGTTTTAGGTAAAATGTATTATTCCGAGTTTTTTAAGGAAGAAATGTTAAGGTTGAAAAAGCGTTAGACTATAATATTTCCGTCATATAGTTGGTCCTACAAATAAATTAGGTACCTAACTACGTATGGGGCGTTGCGTAATCCGAAAAAAAGTATTCAAGTATTTATGTATATACAATTATTTCTCCAGAGCGTGGATAAAGGTCACCTCCCACGCAAATCTAGGGAGCGATCGGGTACGGGGCGGAGTGGGGGGCGCTCGGGCACGCGCGGGCACGCCGACCTTGCCCGGCTGTGACTCTGCGACCTTGGAGCCAGCCGCCCCGCCACCCTACCGCCCCCCGCCACCCCGCGCCCACACACCACCCCCAGCCCACTCACGCCTACCATCTCTGTGCAAAATTTAATATCTAAAGTATGAGCATGAGGCAGAGCGACGTAAAATACGAATGATGGGCTGAAAATAAATACATATAATACATGAATAATCACTCGAGATCATTTTGCAGTTTGTTTGTTGGATTTATCGCAATACAAACCATACGCATAAAATGCAATTGGAATTTTGTACACGCTGCGTTGAACTCGACAAACTTATTAAATCACGACAGTCTCGTTACGAAAATCAGTTCAAACATCAGTCGAATATTAGAAATTAGACGCAATTGTAACATGTGTAATGTTGAATAATGTACGAGGGGATTTTATTAACCAAGGCTCCTCTGCGGGATGGTGTGTTGAATGTCAAATAAGTCAAAATGATATTAATATATATTAATAGAAGTTAACAACGGTCCTGTTTCCGCGTGAACCGCCGCCCGGGCGCGACCTCGCCGTGGCAAGGTCGCGGCCAGCCTTATTCGGGGTTTTCCGTATGTCGCCTGAAGGTCTCCGATATTTACACTAGTTATACGTACGAAGCTCCCGTCACAACACATATAACAATAGCCATTCTATTCAATTGAACTATTAATTGTCAGGGATGAGACACAATGGACACATTCATGACGATAACTTATCTGGATGTTAGCTCGTTGCCCTACACTTATTGTTCTTGTTCATTATCGATGACATAAAATATCTGGAATAAGTGAGCTATTTAAAAATTTCTTGGCCATATTTAATAAAACAATAACAGACACAACGAGAATAAACAAAGGACTTAGAAGTAACAATGATAATTTATGTAGCAGGAAGCATTGTGACTTCCATCGGAAGACATTGCTTTACGAAATAAATTAGGGGATTGGGTAATCTAAATTACATCGTAGTTGATCAACTATTTGTCTATATATTTGAATAGATTAATTATAGTATTACAAAATTAAGCGGCTTGACACTATTTCACTGGAGCTATTTTGCTGTTGCGTAATAGACGACAGCCGATAAACTTAATCAAGTCGCTCTCACCCCTGGCATTTCGGAATTGAGAGGAGCGGACGGCGTGTGCAAGGAGAGGTGTGGGGGCAGCCTCCCCGGGTCGCGGCGGCCGATGCACCGCCACGAGTCAAGTGCAGGGCCGCTCTGCGCCGCCGCACCGCGCGCGCCGGTCAATACCCGCCCGCTATCCTTTGCAACGCACATTGCACTTGCACGAGCTTCCCGATCGATGCATTTCCCCCCGACCCGCGTTCCGTGTGCTCCGTCGAACAGTCTCGAAATTTCAAGCATCTTCCGATTGTCGACTTTATCTATCGATTATCTTAGATGCACCGCGTTATGCAGCGTGCATAATCTCTTATGCCTGCTATGCCTCTCGGCACAAAGACGATGCTTACTCTTCTAACATTATCTGAGCAACTGTAGGAAGCACTAGAATGTTCCTGTGACCTTTATGGCGTCGGAACCTCTTTAAACGTCAATATTAGATCTCGCTTAGAGGTGTCTTTCAAATTGACATCGACTAATGTCAATAATTTCTGTACGAAATGTTTACTGATCTGGTGATTCTCTGAATGTTTGAAAGGACATGCACTTAAAAACGTTCGTAACTGAATTTTCTTAAAATATGATCTCGTTGATAAAATAGAGGTAAAAAGAAATTGAAATTTAAGAGCCATATAGAGCTATTTGTTATATATCGAATTTAAGTATCAGTTTTAACTATAATTTTGAAGATCACTATTTTTACTATATTATTTAAAAATGGCAAATATAAATATATTTCCCAAGATAATAAAAAATGACAGCGGCAATTCTTGTTTCGACTCATTGTAATGCATGTAGAGTAGAAAGTTCTCTTAGTTTAAAGATCGAGTTTGCTATTTATTATAAATAATGTTTTAATTATATGATAATTCTGATTTCTATTTCATTCCTCATGACTATAAATATTACTACGTTTCATATAACACTGAATAAGTCCAGATAAAAGAACATACTTTATTCTCTCATTGTGTATGGTTAATAACATACGAGATTTGAAATGAGTTAGATAAATAAATAAAGATTTATGATGACAAATTGAAGACCTTTTTCTGATTAATTAATGTAACAGAAGTGCAAAGAAGTTTGTGAAACTAGGTAAAGCGTGTTTGTGCGCTTCATATTAATAATATAATATTATAATCATGGTAGTCGTTCGAATCGTATCTGATTCCTAATTCGTCATTAGCATTGGGAAACGAGGAAAAGATTATTTGACCGCCCGGAAGGCGGAACTAGCGCGGTAGGGTCAAACGCTGCGGAAATGGCGAATTCGCGGGCGGCGACCGCTCTCCACACCGAGCGACGATAATATTTACGTCTCGATAGTGTAATAACAAGTATGGCGGAAATTTTTCATCACATACTCGTATTTTGCGTCTTAAAGAAAATGTCTAAGAAAATGACGCATAAGTGGTTTTTATTATTGAAAATGCTAAATTTGGATAAATTTAGTTTATAATGAATGATTTATAGACTTAAGTGATTTCGTTAATTATTCTACATTAATTAATACACGTAGATTTCTTTTTATTATTTTATATTTAGGACACATTTTTACACAACGTTCTCTAGTCCCACACTAGGTAACGCTTGTATTATGGGTACTAGATAATATTAGTAATAGATAACTGATAAAGCTACTTAAACATGCTTTTCTTCTGTAAATAAATACATATTATAAACACCCAGACACTAGAAAAACATTATGTAGTGGGGATCGAACCCACACCCTCTGAAGCAGGAGGCAGGTACACTAACCACTACGCGATTCGGGTCGTCAAATAACATAAATTAATCATATTTTAAAAACTAGTGTGTTTATGTAAAAACATTATGATTGTTGTTAGTTCGCTTGAAAAGTATGATTTCTAAAGAATCTTTTGAGATGAACTTCGAGACATTATTAAATACTATGGTATTTGTTTCAAACAGAGCTTGGATCTCGTGATCGCAATTTTGCAATTTCAATTAAAAAATCAAAAAATTCGTGAATTCAATAGAATTGTTAGAAGTTCAGGAGTGAAAAGTATGTAAAAAGTATTGGATATGATATGATATGATATGTTTTTCAACTGATGTAATAAGTGTAATAGTTTAAAATTTTATCCTAACAGAGTGTTTTAAATGTTATTATAATTAGGTGTTAATGAGTTAGGACGATAGAATCAAAGTCATAAGAATTTTTTACAAGTTTGTTTTATTTTAATTCGACAACCTGTCATTATATTAACAAACAAATGACTGAGCACGCTCACATACGCACATACAATACACACACAAACACACCGCGACCGGCGCTGCATTGCATTATAAATTATACTTATATAGTCTTAAATTATTTTTCAGTCTATTGCGCTCTCCTCGTCCCGCACCGGCCACGCACGCACGCGTCTTAAACGAATTATCACATATAATATATTAAACCGATTTGCGAACGATTATTAACTACATAGTTTATTCAATTTAAAGTAGGTCGGGGTGGGGTGGCGGAGACGTGCGGCTCCGCGGGCCGCCCTCACGCCTCCAGCATGCGCGGCATGAAGGCGCGCGGCGGCGAGGGCGACTTCTTGGACAGGTTGAGGGGCGCGTCCGCCACGTCCACCTGCAGCTCGAGCACAGGCGGCGCGCACGGCTCGCACGCGTCGCCGCGCCGCATGTATTGCGTGATGAGGTCGGTGCGCTTCAGCTGCTCGGGCGTCATGCGCGGACACTCGCGCAGGCTGCGCGCCAGCTCGATGTGCGTGGCGGAGAGCGAGGCGCGCGGCGGCGGCTGCGGCTGCGGCGAGGGCGCGGCCGATGCGCACCCGGCCGCGGGCCGCGCCTCCGCCTCGCCCGTGTCGCGCCGCATCGCGCGGAACTTCTTGTGCGGCTTGTACGCCTCGTCCATGAGCAGCGGCGCGTCGTACAGCGGCGGCGCCTGCAGCACGCGCTTCAGCACGGGCATGTCGTCGGCGGGCGCGGGCCGCCTGTCCTCCGCGTGCTCCTCGAGCGAGGAGCGCGGGCTGGAGCAGCCCGAGCCGGGGCCCACGATCCGCTCGTGCTTCTCGTTGCCGGACTCGATGCCCGAGTCGGTGGGCGAGTCGAGTTTGCGGTAGCGCGGCGGCGGGCGCACGGGCGTCACCGTGAGCCCGTTGTGCGCCAGGTGCGCCACGCCGAGCGCCTCCTCGTCGACGGAGCCACGCGAGTCGAGTCGCCGGCGGCCGGCCAGCGTGGCGGCGAGCAGCGGCGTGCCGCAGTCGCCGATCACCTCGCCGGACTCGCTGCTCGACACCGAGCCGATGGGGCTGCGCGCAGATTCGTCCGCACCGGAGTCCGCCCAAGAGCAGCCCTCCTCCTCTCCCCACATCTGTTGCCTCAGCAGTTCTTTGTGCTCTGTGCGGAACACGACCAGCTTTTCGGTGTGCAGCGTGCTGAGTGTGCGCAGGTCCGGGAGGGTGTCCATTAGCTCTCGCAGGAAGCCGGGCCTGTCCGGTCTGTTCTGGCTGATGACGGTCTGCAAGCACGCTTTTAATCTGGCGTGCATTCGCTCTACCAAGTCGACGTTGCGGAGCCCCGGTCTGTCCGGAGTGATTAGTACTATGGCGCAGAAGAGGCCGATTTCGGCATCGGTGAGGTTCATAGAGTTCATGCGTTCCGCGAACTTGAATGTAGAGTCGACAAGAAACCGAGCGTTGGCACCGCTCTGAATAGAGTCCCGTTTCATGAGCTGTCCATTAAGGCAAATAATGCTATTGAGCGGTGCGTCGAACATGCAAATGAGCCGCACAAACAAGGCGTCAAAGAGACCACTTTTCAGCAACGTGAACTTGTCGTCCTGCGTGAGCAGCTGGAAACCGGGAATGAGGCCGGCAAAGTCTATCACGCCGCGGATCACGTGGGCGAATCGCTGGGAGAATTCCTTCTCGGATTGCAACTCCGGCGCCGGGTTCAGCGGACATGCCTAAAACAATTGGAAGCCTTTGTTAGACACCTACTTAACGAAACAGTGTCAAGCCCACACAGCTCTAGGTGATAAAATCAATGCAAGTGTAAACTGAAGTTGAACTATTTAGGATTGTGCCTCGTGGCAATCTGGGGAGGCCTATGTTCAGCAGTGGACTCAAACAGGTTGAAATGATGATGATCATAAAGAAGTAGATCGGTTGAGAGGGCTTACCAGAGTGGGTTGTGAGTAGGTGGGACAGTCGCGGGCGCGAGCGCGCATGGCGGCAACGCGGTCCCTCGTGAACTCGCATGTGTCGAGGTGGGCGCGCACCACGCGTGCCAGCAATCGCGGGGCGTCATCAAGCTCCGCGGCAGCGGCCTGCTCGTGCGCGCGCGACGACGACGACTGCTGCATAGCGGCCAAAATGCGCGCCTTCTCGCGCTTCGGAACACGCCCGAACCGCACGGCTACGACAAAACAGACACAAGTTCAACAACGTGCTAAAATTACCACAGATACAATACGGCTAACGAACATTTGAGACGCTAACTGTCGGGCGCGTAATCAATCGCGTCCGCGCGATCACCATAGCGGTTTATATCGAGTTATAATGTGACGGCAACGGAGGGCGAGTTGGGCAAGGTCGCGACTCGGCATTCATTCATACATTTCAACGGCAGCTGTCGTCGGACGTATGCGGGCTTCGTGCACGCGCAGCTGACACGGGGGGTAGAGTTCATCGCCCGTAGCAACGACCCCTCGACTGAAGTGCGAGCACGGCGGAGAGCGTCGCGATTGCACCGCTCGGTAAACCAATTCGAGCGACGAGCGACAAAGCGCGAAACGCGAGGTCACGCCGGAAAGTGTTACGACTTTCACGCGCACGGCGGCGAGCAGCGAAAGGTCGTAAGCGTTATGGCGTTCGTGCGCGGGCGTCGGTGAAAGTGTTCGCGGGCTCGGCGCACGGTTGAAAACGAAAGCGGAGAGCGCCCTCTCGCCATTTCTCCCGACTTTCCCTGGCCGATGTGGGCCGTACCAGATGTTCGGCCTATTGTCCGCTGCCGCCGGATCGAAATCGTTTCACTTAATGCGGCCGCCACTGTTTTGATTACGAACGGCTCAATTTTAATTGGAAATATTATTTTCGAATTTTACAAAAGTTGAAAGATTGATAAAAATAGAATAATAATCATAAACATATTCGGATAATAATATTTTGGTCGTTTGTTGAATAGCAAACATCAAATATTGCGATAACATTTAAGTGTCCCTATTTATAAACATAATTCAGTAATAAACACAATTTTACTTTAATAATTCGCATTGTGTTAATACAATTTTATTTCTGAATAATTATATAGAGTGATTGGTGTTCAATTAAAATAACACATCCTTTAAAATTATTATAAATGTTAATCATTGATTTTTTTTTTCAGATTGTATTTAAAAAAAACAACAAACAATGTTAACTTTTTAACTTGTTGCATGAAAAGTATTTATCAACAATATTTTAATATGTAAATAAACTACTACGAACTATATTATGCCATTGTAGTTTAATAAAGTTATACATACGAGCATTGTGATATTTCACCACTCCATTCAGGATCCCCTTAAGTATTGGTAAATCTTCTCCCATGTCTGAGACCATAATTTGTTTTACACTTATAACTAGGAATTCACAGCCAGAGGCCACTGATAACTAAATTGGTAACTTTACGTAGTAGGTAAGTAATTAATTAACAAGTGTCACATAGCACACAATATGATTAATTCGCACAAGCACTGTAATCCGGTATACGCAGTAGGTAATCCAATGTTTTAGTCGTATGAAGTCAGCGGCTTGCAGCCGAGCGATCGCAGTGAGCAAAGCTCGAGTTCTCGTGTCGGACTGACGAACTAAGCACTGACATAGCGATCACAATGAGGGCTGACGACCGGTGCGCGGGCCGGACTCCCTCGCACTGCGCCGCGGCGCGCGCCGCGCCAACCTTGAACTTGAAGCGGGGGGGAGGGGGCAGGGTGCGGAGAGGGGAGCCGTCAATAAACTCCGCGCAGGCCCCCGCCGCCTTGTCAGCCCCCCTCCCCGCCCGCTCGATGCCGTGAACCCGCGCGATCGCAAAGTCCTAGTGTTCGCATTTCGCAATCTCTACTTATTACTCACATTGGATGTACTATCGAAAAGCTGCCCGGTCTTAATGCTCTAGCACTTTTTAGCGCAAAAAGTTTTTTATTTAGTTTATAAAATAGGTGGTTGAATTTGAAATACACTTTAAAGCAAAACTACCTGTTTCCTCTCCATGATGCACTTTAATAGTTTTGAAATGTTAAACGGTGTCATTAAGCGATTTATTAAAAATAATGAATTTTAATTATTCAGAACTTTATAATAATAATATAATTTACCTTATTCATTAATAAAGTACTATCATAACAATTGCTAGTATTCAAAATTTCAAAGTTATAAAAGAGCCTATAGAAATAAATCCCATTGCTGCGTAAAGACTATTTATATAGAAGACATTTGGGCTTACTCCGTCGCACATTTCGGACAGGGAATTGTAAAACCTAATATATATATAAATATTCTCTCATAACATTTAAACCATTTGCATTTTTTTAACTAGTATAGCTAATTTACTAATTGTATGTCCTATGCATCTAAATGAGATAATCCTCTCAATTTGTTAAAGAATAATGAACATTAGTTCCAACCACCGCCGCATTTTACCTAAGCGCTGAAGTTCATATCCAAAGCGCCATCTATTATCGAGTGGCGTAACTAGAACTTCGGGTTCATGTCGTTGCCGTCTTATTTCTGCTCTACCGTGTATTTTGGTTGACGGCTACACATGCTACGTTCTAATAACATACCTAAATACAATTCCAAATTAAAATTTCTTAGGGTTATATAATATAACGTGAAAACGTTACAGTATTATTAATACGTAAAGTATGTAGTATTTATTCAGTAACATAATTAATGAAAGAAAACGGGACGGACGGATTGGAGCGTAAATATTTTCTATTGCTATTACGTTGTGGTAATCTAATGAGCCGCTCGCTGTTTATAGGGTGGGGGAGGGTGCGTTGAACTGCAGCACGAAAGTGAAAATACGAATTTCACTCTCGCCGCTTACGAAATGCACCTTTCTCCGCTTTCACGTTGCGCGGACGGCGTCGTCAGCGAGGAGTGGAGTGGAGGCGGGCGAGCGGTGTCGCAACCGGCCGCGGCCGTCGACCTGCTTAGCGAGCGCTCACCCGCACTTGCATAACCGATCCCCACGCGAAATAGGATCTGGCCGGCACGCGCCCCACTTGGCGGCTCGCAGCGCGTCCACGCGACATCGCGCGGACGACCTTCCTATGCTAATTGCGTACACATCGCCCGCGGCACACGCGCTCAACACGCACCTCGCTGCGCGCTCCAGCATTGCATAATTCATGCATTAAACGAAGGAAAATTTAAGCGCATAATACTTATGGTGATCGGCACGGACTGATCTTTAACGCATGTCTGTTATTTTTTGATAACTATTGTAAACATCTTTATATTTTGATGATATTCATATTTAGAAAGAATAGATTTTTTTTTATATAAAAGGCAATCAATTTGATGTATTGAGTTGCAGGAAAATTGTTTAACAGTTTCATCCAATTGATATCTAATATAAATAATTTTTAAATAATACTTTTTAGAAAATATGTCATAATTATTGGAAATAGTTTAAAGCGCAGGATTTTTATGCGAAAAATGAAAATAAAGAAACTCACCATCTCTGCTCATGCCGACGGCGATGCATTTTTTCAAACGGCAGTACTGGCACCGATTTCTGTTGATCCTCAAGATGGAACATTGCTGGTTTTTGGTGCACGGCCTGTACTGTATCTTCTGTTGTATGGAGCGGCGGAAGAAGCCCTGCGGATCACAGCTGCAGTTAGTCTCGCGCTCTGGCTCGGAGCTCTCGTCGCTCGAGCAGCCCGAGTCGCTGGACTCGCGGCGCGCCTCCAGCATGCTCACCAGCACCGAGTGCCGTTCGCGCAGCTCAGCGCCGCACGCCATAGGTACTAACTACCACGCGCACTCCTCACTGCACTCTCGCTTGCCTCACTAGCACCACTGGCGTATCGTACCGTACCCTAGATCGTTCGCGCTGCACCGACACGGATGGTGGCCGACGGCTGACTGTGCGGCCGCTGCGGCGCGCGGCGCGCACTTACCCGCGCGACCTACTTGCCGGCCGCCGACCCAGCCGAGAAAGTGAGAGTGGCCCCGGGCCCCGCGCCCCCCCGCTCACCCCGCGCCGCCCTCGCTCCCCGCGCGCGCTCCTAACGGTCCACGTCGCTCTAGAATGCGCTGCTGCTGCACCGGTGCGCCGGATATAGGCCGGGCGCATCCCGGCGGGCGTCGCGGCGCGCGGCCGTTCACCCCGGGTCGACGACCGCTCGATTGCACAACAGCGTTGGCGCCCCGCGACCCGCGCGGGCCCCGCCCGCGTCCCGGCCACCCGGGAGCTAGGGCACGAGCAGCTCGGGCCGACGACCGGCTCAGTGCCCGGTGACGTCAGCCCCGCGTCACGGCCTACCTCAATGCGCGCGCGCTCACAGCTAGGGGTGCGTTGCTCCAATTCAATTATTGATACGACTAAACGATGCGACCACTGACGATAAATTTCATTGGAGCTCACGATTTACAGTCAGGGCGATATAGCCTATCGATACTTGTATGGTATTGGTCAGTTCAGATACATGTTGGGCTTTCTGCATATTTATCATGTTGATGACACTTGATTGAAGTAGATCGAAGTCAATTAAGCCGATTGAGCTCGTAAGCGAGCGAATCGTGGCCAAGCAGCGGAGGCTGCGGCGGCGCGCAGCCGCCGCGGGGCGGGGGCGCACGGCTCGGTGGCCCAATTTCTTAGTGCCATCGATCCATTGTGCGCTGTACGAGTGGCCCATAATTGGCCACAGCGCGGCCAGTGACCGGCCGCCCGGTCAACGACCGCTGCCGCGAAAACAAAACCCCACCCCGCCCCGCACCTCCTGCGCTACAATCATAGACAACTATCAAAAGAAGCATCGTTGACGAATATGTATGTATATGTTCGGGGAGCAGCGCCGTTTATGTATACGTTTCTATCGGATTATTACTTTTATTACGCAATGGGTGTATGTCGTTTTGTACTTTATAAAGGACTAGTTTTACTTTTAGGTGAGCCACGGAAATTAATTCTTCATTGTTCGACCTTAACAAAACGATAAGCATAACACAATGTGTCATTAGGTGTTTATTGCGGTTATTAATTAAGAAAATTAAAGGGTCAACGAACGCTAAACAAATGACACGATTACATCGTTTTGTAGTTCTAAAAGTTGATTTATTTGTGTACAGTACCAACTTCAATAATTATTATCTATACCACGAATTCAATAGTAGGTGATTCACATTTTCTAGGTCAATTTGTGGTTGGTCATGAAGACAAGAAACATGCAATAAGTATATGTATACGGACTTTTTTATTTACTTATATAATGTAATGTAATAGTTTGGGTTATAGCAAATAATGTTGCTTTGCATCTCAAAATAAGGTATTGTGTGTATATTGGTTCTGACTTCAAAATTTTCATTAATATGTTAATATCAAATGCAATTAGATGACAGGATTTAATTATGTCTCAGGGCAACTATTTGGTGCTGAAACACTGAGTTTAATCTAGAATTCTATTATTTCTTTTGTGATATGATAAGGAACTCATACATTTTATGGTGGGCAAAACAGTTAATATGCAGTGACGTAAGCCACGGGAAATCGACGACGTAAAAGATGACACTATTTGATTCGGCAGTGACTAACGGAACATACTGAATCATAGTTTGCGACATAAATCAGGTAACTACGAACATAAGAATATCTCGAGTACGTACAGAATGTATTCCATTTACAATAAACTTGCTAGCGGCAATCATTCCATTGATATTTAGTACCAAAAACTGAGTACATTCAAACAAATTATCACATGCCCATAATGTGTTTTGTTTTTTCTTCCTTTCTTATTTTTATAGTTTTGTATTTTGTTTTTAGCTAGTTTTTATTTATAGTTTTTTTTATCTAGTGTAAATTAAGTTGTAAACATTGTTGCCATGATATCGTAGCATGTTGTGTACGCATAGTTTTGGCTGACAGTATGTTTAACTTATTTAACTTTATTGTGATGTCTATATTACTGTTTGCTGTTTTGTGTACCGAATAAAATAAAATAAAATAAATTAAATTCCAAGTTAATTAATTAAGCCGTTATCAAATGCATTAATTTTTTTTCGCTAAAGAGGACTAACTAGCGCAGGAGATGAAATTTTTATTTATTTACTTTGTAACGCTAAGGAAGTAACTTCTTACGCGAGAATTTAGTACACAAATGTTTTTTTATCAACAAAACTGACTGCAAATATCTGATTCACTAGGCATTATCTGTTTGATTTTGAGGGTCTCTATGATGTGTCCAAGATCCAATCTTTGAAATCAATATAGGAGAACGTGGGAACTAACCCGAAACCGATGCAAAAATAATTTTTAAAATTGGTTCATAAATAACCGTCTCCTGAGGTAACAAACATAAAATCAAAGAGAACCTGCTTTTTTAAGGCGATTGAAAATATGAACAGTTTTAAATTTATACGTCCGACGATTATTGATGGCTTAAAGCAGTAAACGGCGTAATTCGTAACGGAATTATATAGAGGTTATTATATTGGGTTATTATTATATATATTACTCCGTGTGCTTAATGACACCACACTATTTGAAAGTACTAAATAATCAGGCGACCGAATAGCAAATGCTTGCCGTTGAGAAACCTCCTTTCAGAACAACCTGGCAATCGTTAGATACAAGGCTGTAGTTGCAAGGGCTTTAAGAGGGAGAATATTCTAAAAACAATGCCACTACAAATGTAGAGGCGAATTGGGACTAATGGTGCTGAGAGTACACAGCGCGTGAATATCTATCGCAATGAGAATTTCGATAGTCCAACGCCGCGGCGTGCGTTCGGTATCTGGGGGAAATGTTTATTATATGGCCTCGGCCAGGATTTCGTCAGCGCGATGTGGGTCGCGCTCGCCTTGCATCTAGACTTTTCGACATAGCCTGCCCGTCGCGCGATAAACTCGCCGCTTTTCGGTCGGTGACGTTGCGTTGACACAATTCGACCTCTATCTATGTCTCTTGCCAATGAGGAAATTCAACGATTCCAATTTGGAATTACAGTTTTGGGCTGTATTTCGTGTCGGTTACGAATGAAGAAATCTACATTTCATGAGAACTCTGATTTCGCATCCGAACACCTGGATATGGCGTCAATTTGGAATGTCATTTAGGCGCTGAAGATCACCTGCATTGTCGCTAATGATGAAATTGGTAAAATTTTAATATGGAATTTCGATGTTGCGCCGAGCGAGTGGAGAGCGGCGCGCGGATTTCGGCCGTGGAACGTTCTAGCGTCAGTCGCGAGGCCAGTGGCGGCTAACGGTGCAGCGGACAACGACTCCGCAAACGCCGGCCCGCTCGGAAACATGCTGACGCATCGCTTGGTTTCCGAGGAAGCGGCCGCCGACCGCCGACCTGCCTAACAGTTCGCCTCGCAGATGTTTGCACGATAACACACAAAGCCACTGACTCATATCGGGGCTGTGATTCACTTCCCGCTCGCTTATCGCCTCTTATTTACAGCAACTGCGTAACGTGAGGGATGCGTGTGTACAATAAGATGATGCCTACTGCATTTCTGCTAATTATTAGCACACGTGCAGCCTTATAAACAAAGGTTAAAGAGTCACCTACAGACTGTTACAGACTTACAAGTCATACCATGTTCAATTGTACAACTTATTTAAGCAGATACTCATAAATGTGCCCAAAACCATACACTCAATAAACGGAGGGCGCGGAAGAACTCATTCGTAAGCAGTAGGCTTACATTATTCGTCGCACAGGAAATCGTAAACTCGAACGCGCCGAGCGACGTGGGATGCTCTCAATAAATACGAGCGCCGCGGGATCAATGAACTTTTAAGCTGACAGTTAAAAAATAATGTGGGTTACGCTCTTGTTGCGTACATACATTCGTTGACCGTAAAAGTTCTTGTGGCGAAGTGAGGCTGTGTAGGAGAGGTGCGCGGCGCGGCGGGTTCGTTGACCGCGCGCCCTGCGCCTCGGATCGGTGCCGAAATTATGAGCGACCCAAAACACGCGTAAATATGTCGGTCAGAGAGAACAAAGGAACCCGATCGGTTAGCGACGAACAGTGCGATACGATCAGCCGAAATGATGTTTTTCGCCGGACAGCCTTATATAATCTATAAGCGTTGCTCTCTCGTAAACATTGTTAGGAGTGAAATATAACACGAACTCGCACTATTCATATTACGCTTTACAAAACAATTAGTGTTAATTTACCACAAAACATAAGGTAAATAATGTAATAAATATGTTATTTCTATATTGCTACAATAATTTAAAACTACAACTATCAAAATATACAGCTGTTGGAAAATCAATGATATTTAAATGATGTAGATAATATAACATAAATAAATCTTTGAATGAGATAATTTAATAGTTGAATAATATATTGTTTTTAACATGCAAATGTAATAGATAAACCGAAAGCGTTATACCAAACTTCCGTTGATTAGATGCACAGAACAAGGAACAAAGACAACGAACGCCTTATTAAATCGAATTGATTACAGATAACGCACAATTAATTGTATCAGCCCTAATCAGAAGCGTTCGTGAAGTTCTCGAAACGGCAATCGTTAATTGTTAGTTTATAATGTAAGAACGTGCCGTAATAAACACGGGTTCGTTGACATCAGTGCGTACGGCCACGCGCCTCGTAGTGGGTCGTAAAAACAAGCCCGCTCACCATTCATTCAACATGTACCGTTCGTGAGGGAATAGAGCGAGCAGCACTGTCGCGCGTTATACCGTAGCGCCATCTTGTGGCGAGTGGCGGAAAAAACTCGCCACCATTTCAAATCAAGCCACTAGGTGTCGCTGTTAGTCACTTCACCGCACACTTTAAATTTTGATCACATCGAGCTTTAAACATATATGACATATATCATATCTAAACAGAACACCTTAGATATTTATATTTCACAGGTTCCGTGATTAAATTATTAATAAATTCTATATCGATTTTCCTTGACACATCGATAGTGACGGCAACATTCGCTTAACTGCAAGCAATCTCCCGCATAATCGTTGTCCCTCTCGTTTGGCGTACAATAGGCCAGACGGTCGCGGAGAGAAGGATACGTTTTGTCTCGCCGCCGTCTCCGGGGGCAAGTTGCTGCTTTCAAACCAGTTCACTTGTACACTTGCACTCCTGCTCCCGTCTGCTTCCTTGCACCGCTTTCGCGCTCATGAATAACTTTGCCGGGGCGACGGGCGGCTATTGACTGTACTTATAGCAGTATACAAACAGATGTTAAATTTAACGAACGTTTATTGTTTTAATGAATTATAATTTCGTTTTTTTTTTTACCGGGCGTTATGAAACAGCGGGGCTAATTTTCTTATTCTATTGAAATACGTTAGTAATTCGTGTTTTTGTAACCTTCAAGTCTTAAATATTGAATTAATGGCATATGAAGGTGAACATTTGTATGCCTGACATGCCCCGTTAATATTTTCGTTTGTCATTTTTTCAGTACTTCATATTTTACGTTAAAAAACAATTCATATTAATGAGAGCACTTACACTCGACGTCAAATCTGGCCCCATTATCTACAACTCCCTAAATATATTCTTAAGTTATAAACAAGCTTCTTACAGTTGACGTCGTGACGACAGATTGTTTATGTTTTCAAAACATGTTGATCTTCGGTCGGAGGCAATAAAAGTAACAATGTTGAACGATGATGCGGTTGGCAACGCTCCGGCTAGACGCTCCTGCACCAGCGGACGACCTTCGCTCCTCATTTTTTAAACCGTCATGGCCGACCTTTTTTTGGTTTTACACTGGTAGGTCGTTTTTTCACGCCGCTATGACTCGACACAAAAACATATGGTGGCTTACATTGTTTTATGCGTATCGTTATTTTAGTAGCGGAAATCGAATAAGACGCCGGTAATTTTAAAAACCTTCATCTCAAAGTTTTCTTGTACAAATAAAATGATGAAATGTACCGAACATTCCTTCTCATTAAGTTCATACTTAAGAGCCTATTAAATGGCGTTTAACCTATGTTGACCCTAACACTAACAATGTGAATTTCTAAACACTATGGCGATTTAAGAGAGCCGATCGTTTCCCGTGTGATTGTTCTCGAACAGGTATCCCAAAAAAAATCATAAAGGCTCGAATTGGGGCAAGGGGCTGACCGGCGGTGCCGAGGTCGGCAGGTACCCCGAGCCGTTCACACGATCCTTCGGACGGCCCGATACGCCGTGGACAACAAGGTCGGCTTAAAACCTACTTTATGGAAGCGTGCGACCGAATGCGACTCAATGGCTTCGTATCACGTATTCTATATTTAAACACGAAATTGTCCCGTTCACGAGCGATCCAATATCGCGGAGATTGTCTTCCGTGTATCGCGGCCTTGCCGCTGATACTCTAGGACGCCCAGAACACTTCCAGTTACAATGTTCACCGAAATTGCGCGCGCGGTTTTGATCTGTATTGCGTTTACATAATGGCGCGGGTTGATAGTGCCGCGATGCTGCCGAGGTGGAGAAAGGTGATCGGTCACCCGTGCTTTGCACTTCCCGCTTTGTAAACCCTGGCGGCTCACGCCTGAATTATAGTATTATTAAGAAATTCCAAATTTAAACTAAATGACATTTACTTTTTCTATTTAAGCGTAATGTTGTATTCATATTGTTATTTTTATCAACCAGTAATAGAAGTGAATACGAGAGGCAACCTGAGATGTAAATATATATGCAATGGCGCTGGTGAGCTTGCTGGAATGGTGCAACGATATTGTATTATTGTTAAAGGGTTTTATATTATTCATATTTACCTTGCATCCCTCACAGGAGTGAACTCCATAGTGGAAACCACTGGCTTTGTCGCCACATACGCGGCATAGCACCGTGGTCCCGTCGAACTCTACAACAAAGGAAATTACACACATTATTAGGTTATATATTTATTTAATTGTCAATTATCTTATATGAAGCGCTTTTAATATACGACGCAGATATACTTAGGACACCGTCGTACCCCAACAATAACTAGAATTATGAATCAGGAATAATTATGACGTGCAAGACGACCGCTTTAATAACACAGTGACCTTACAATATCGCCGAACCGACTTTACACACATTTAATTGGTCACGGTTTCCGCAACTTTGTCCGCAATAACGACACTAGCGGTGAAACATTCTAACCTACACTTTAAAACTAAGGAACGTTCCAGTATGTTTCATAGCTTTGTTGTCTTTTTTTAGTTCATTTTTTATTTTAGCTCACTCGTATACATACGTGTTGTGATAGCTCCAAATATAAACAATAACAACGGCGATCAGGTGATCACAAAACCGTTTATGTACGTTCTAGATTCTAGAACGTACATAAACATTGTTTAAATGAGATATAATATGAACATTATTTCATGAACATAAACAACAAGTTCATGATCATGAAGTAATGTTCAATTGTTTTAAAATTAAAGCACCCAGTGCTCACAACGAGAGCGATTCGATAACTTAACTTGCCAACAACGTGGCGTACCATAATTTCGTGATGCGCGAAGAACGGCCGATTCTTGAGCGACCACAGCAAGGCGGTCTCCGTTATCGAGCCCGCACGTGCCGATGTATATAGGCTTCTGAGTCACGTGACTTATCGAAGGGGCACTAATACTGACTGTTTCGCGTTATAACTGCGGTATTGCGTAACACGTGCCTACTTGCTCTCGCAGTAACGCAAATGTGGAAACCGCCTGGCACTCCCGTGGGATCGGGCGCGTGACGCAACCTCGCCAAGCCAAGGTGACACTGGAGAGTAATTTTAGAAAGCGTCTTCGCACCTCGGACGGTGTCGATGAACCTTTATGTGTATCGTTGCGCAACCCGTGAAAATTCCACCGCGACGCGTACACTCACAACGCGGCGGGCTAGTCGTTGTTCGTGTTTCAAAAGGGCGCTTTATCGTCGAGCGATTGACGCATCGGACGCGTAATGGGCATTAATGCGAGCCCGAAGGGATCGTTAATCGCCGGAGCGATTCCGTTAGTGGGTCAGCGGTAGATAAGGCGGCAACAGGTGACGTCGGACGCGAGGCGCAAGGAGCCGCGGACGGGTGCGCGCACTTTCCCCCGCTCCGTTTATCGAAAGGGAGCGAACGCCTCTCGGCAGTACTTTCTATTTCTGTCCGCGCGCCGCGGGTCGACGTTCGGCGGACTTTCTATGGTGCTTTCTTTTTTTTAGAGCCACGGCCCGCTCCAGTCTCGCGCTCTCGTCGCTCCGACTCACAATGGAGAAAGCGATGCGCCAGACGCGAGCGGTGCATTGGGGCATCATCGCGTGCACCAATTTCGCGGGCGGTGACGCAACGCGCTTTTTTCTGAGCGCGATCCGCGCGTCGGTTACGTCTATCGGGTGGAAAGTGCGCGGGAAAGTGTGCGCGCGGCGCACGGGCGAACTGTGTCACGGCGATGTTTGTTTGTAAATAGTCGCAACTCTACATCGTCGTGTATCACGTTCCGGCGTCGTTCCGCGGCGAACGGGCACGTCCGCCACGGATGCTCCAATAACACTCGTTCCCATTGCCAAGTTGCTGTTCGACGTTATTGGCGACCTCGCATGACACACCGTTCTTAACTAAAGCAGACTATAATTCCTCTACCAGTATCGATTTGTTATCATAAAGTGAGCACAGTAGAACTGGGCCGTTATTAAAACGAGACAGAAGATATGGTCCCTTTACTAGTCTGGATTCAATATAAAGATATAAGAATAGGTTAGAACTGACACACTCTCAGAGACGTTATATACTGAACTTCACAATTGAACGAACTCAATGCTAGTTAAGTAACGTTTGCCGTACCCGTGACCGCTCAGTAGTTCGGCAAGAAAGGAACACGCTAGCGCGGAGTTCTCGTTCGGTGAAACGTGCGCCGAGAGAAAAGTAAAAGTCGCGCGGCGAGCCAGCTGAGCGGGCCACGTCACTAGCGCCCACTACACGCGACTATCGCGTTCCATCGCACGATAATCGCATAACGCACGTTAAACATCATTAATAGAACATTCAAGCACCACACGCCAACCGTGTAACTGTCAACTCTTTGTTGCTATCAGTTGAGGAGAAATCCGAACGGTTTAATCGGCGGAGCAATAAGATCATTATCGAAAGCGATATACGACTCCCCGCTGTCACGATTAGTATCGGACCCAATATTCGCAGGGGACCGCCGATAAACCCGTAAACTTTACGTGTTTCGCACACAACTAATTGTTTTCTCGCAAAACCCTTCCGAATAGAAAAACGGCAAGATCAATCCATCACGTTCGTTCCGCGACAAAACTCAATTAACAACACCCTTTCATGAAACGCTTAGAAGAATCATTAATCGAAAATTATTAATGATCGTCAAAAAACTCAACGTGAAATGATTACAAAGAAATATATACCTACGAATGTTAGAAAGAGAAAATCATTAAATAACAATATTCGTTATGACGGATAAAGTTGAAAATAACATTTAATGTAGCAGCTAAATATTTTTTATTACCTAAAATTCTTTGTGAGAATTAAACATCATTTCAATATTCAATAGTTCAAGTGAATTTGAAAATATTTTTTTTGTTGTAAAACTTTTATTGAGAATAGTACAAAATTCCAATAAACATAATTATTCTGAATATTTTTCTGTTTATTTAATAAATCATCTTACTGAAATATTCACATAACACAAATATTTGAATATTAAAAAATAAGAAAACGTAAAAACTCCATAATATGAGTTGTTAAAAAACCATACAAAAAATTATTTGATAAACTTTATAAGATCAATGTCAGTGTTATAAATATTATGCTAAATAAAAGTTAGCAGTATTATGCTAAATAAAAGTTAGCACTAAAAATTTTAGCAGTGCGAAAGAGACTGAAAAAATTAAATGTCTACTTTCTCCTAAATGTTGACAAACATCGTAAACATAGTACCACCCTGATTTTTCAACCGACCAATAACAATAAAACTGATTTCGCAAACGAATCATGTTCTCATTTTTTTAGTTTGCCACGTAACGTTTGTTTACAATTGGCAGGTGAGCGCCTTGCATCATTCTTATAAGGCTGCAGAGAGGCATACCTATATGCAGTTCGGGTTCCCTCTCCGTATGCACTGAACCCATCATATTGTCCGTTGGTGTCGGCGTATCGTAACGCCCGTAACTGCTGTCCGGAGACATCACTTGAGTCATATATAAGCAAAATCTAAACAATCGTTCAATCCACTTCACAACACGTAACGCACATTCGAGCTAGCTCGCTCGGAGACACGAACGTCCTGCGCACTGTACTATCGGATATGGGACAGGAGTGCATGGGCCGAGGCGCGCGGCCGGCACCTCGCGAAGGATGAAGGTCGCTCGTGTCGCGATATTGCCGCTGCACGCGCCGCGTGCGCTTCACTCGAGCTCGATCGACGAACTGAACTCGGGCCGCGCGCGCTCGTGTTCGTTGCCGCGCGAGCCTCCCCTTAAGAGTGAAAGTCTGCAAAAAGATCGGTGCTCCGTGCGATACAATCACTTGGGCGACGGCGAGGCGCGCGCCAAGGGAATATCACCTCTATGCGTCGACGAAGCCCATCGGTCTGAGCTTCAGTGCGAGCCTCGGCGCGCTTCGAACTCCGGTCCCCGAGGTCATTGCCGCGCCTTCGGTGGACCAATGAGGAGCGCGCTCAGACGAGCGCGGCCAGCCATTGGAGGGCCGCGGAGACCTCGCCCCGCTCGCCTCGCCGCGCGCGCGAGTTCGAAGACCCGAACCTTGCGGGCGCTCCGCGGCCAAGGTCGCGCGAGAGCGGTGCCGACTGAGAGCGCGGCCGCGCGTTCGAGCAGGACACAGCAACACGGTTGCGTCACACTACGAAAATATTTTCGGTGATGGAACGCGAGTGAACTTGAACACGAAATCGAGCTAATGGATGGCGAGTGCGGTGTAGGTCGACGCGTGACGGAGTGACCCGCTGCCGCTGCGGCCCGCTTGCCCGCTTGCCCCTTTCCCTCCTAGCACACACTTCCGGGATGCACAATTCGCCATTGAGGCGGTTCCATTTAACTTCCGAAAAAATTATCCTGGTATTACAGACAATGAAACGACCCTGTGACTAATACAGATTCCAAAGTCAAAGAATGTCAAAATGTACTCATGTATCATATTTATTTACTTATATTGATAAGTAAAATGAGAAACATTTTCATTATTTCCATTCCATCATAATAGTCTAATAGATTTCGATAAGAGCTCATGTTGACTAACTAATTAGATACGAATGAATCTACAAAGTATTATAGACAGTTTACGAGACCTAATTTTTGTTAACGAAACAATGATGATGAAATAATAGCACCCCACATCCTTTCCATACGAGTATGGACTTATTGATAAACAAGGTCTTTATACGTAGAAGTATAAACACAAATGATTTAATTTTATATAACATCTCTGTTATGAACGCTAACGTAAAATCAACTTTGAGTGGATGATATAGAGTTGAATTTCGCTAGCCATCAAAGTTATTTATACGAGATAAAGACGAGAGGCAGTGGGCGTTGAGGCGGGTGAACGACCTGTAAATTTTGGCGCAGGACGGTCAAGGCCACCGCCAGCGCAGGCGCTGTGTGCCTTTCAACGCAACAGCTACATTTCCACAAATAATTTGATTTATCATCAATTTGTGTTTCAAATATTTTTAGTTAAAAAAGATGTTCTTTTTTCTCACAATATTAAATTAAATGGATGTGATCTTTAGCCGTCTTATTGTTTAATATTCGTCATATTTGTACTGAAAGTGTTCTGATAAATTTGTTAAGACATAAATATCAATATATGATATTAGTTATTTAAAAAAGTTGGACTCGTGCACGATGGGTTCCGTGCCATTTACTATAAATATTTTCTTTTATTTTCGTTCACACAATCGAACAATTTTTAGGTACGTTATTTGAGGTTGATGTCAATTAAGCTAGTCCTCTAAATTCTATGAGCGCCCATACAACTCAGAAGATCTTAATTGGTGTCAACTATGTAAGTATGGGGACGCCCTTTAATTCTCTATATATCTATTTTTTTTATTTTTCCTTTATTTGTGCTGTTAGACCTTAGTTTTTGCCAAATTTCTAGATTCTAGGTCAACGCGTACCATACCATATAGGTTTTCGACCTAAAAACTGTAGGGTACTTCCTAAAACTATAAGGTTGATCTAGAATTCTTAATTTTGGTTAAAAGCAAGGTCTTACAGCACAAGTAAAGGGACAACTCCGAAAAATAAATATAGTTGAAAATTTTGGTTCTTACAAGTTTTCGCAAAAATCTAAATTGACCCATATCTTTTTATGGTGTTGCCTCGGACCTTGATTTTTATACACCTAATAGGGACCATTTAGACCTTAATATCTGGTTCAATTTGCTAGTTCCACCCGTTTCTGAGAAAGACGGTGGTGACACACGGACATACGGACAAGTGAGTTATCTTAAAAAGATTTAAGTCTGGTATATCGTCTTGGGACCTTCTCTGGGTCCAAAAGGTGTGCCGTTCGGCTTCGTTTTCACTTTTTGTTTAATTTCTTACAGTTCAATACTTTCCCTTGATCACTAGAGGTAGCTTTTTAAAGGGGCTTCGCAAATATCCTCCCACGTTACGCCCTTTTTCGTTTGAACATTATTTATAATATCGTTCTAATTATATAATACTTTTGGTAATTAATCTAATTCTGTAAAAAGAGTTTTACTGACAAAATTTCACTCTTTTCCAAAAATATACTGTATATTTTATGTAATCCCTGTATTAATTAATTAATTATTAAATCTAATTGAAGCTTACAATCACCAATTCGATAAATTAATCAGTAAACAGTTCTGGAATATAGTAGTAGAAAAGAGGTCGCCATCATTTGATTTTATGAAGGGGTTTTTATATTATTTCTTTTATTTATTTATGTACCTATAGCACAAACTGAAGGTTATGCTACCAATAGAGGATAAATCCTTCGCGTTGCGACCTTGTACGTTACATTTAGTTAATGTTTGCCTTACACTTTCACTTCGCAAGGGTGGAACAATAAACAATAATTATAATGTGACATGTGCACCCGTGAACATTACGTGAAAGCGAGTGCGGGCCCATTTTTTTACTTCCTTCCGTTGCCCTCACTTTTTAATAATGTGCGAATATCAAATTACACGGTTGGTTGGTTGCTGCGCTACGGCGTAAACCTCCGCAGTCTCATACGAATAAAGTCCAAATTCCCTTGTGTCAACTGCCATTCAAAAAGTTGCGGCGACGTCGTCAGCCGGTGGCCACATGTATTCGTACATTGTTCCCTATGACCGCAGCCTAAAGGATCGGCCCATTATTGATGATCTCGATTGATCACGGGTATTTTTTGCGGATGCCAAAAAGCTCACTTAACACGGCGCTGTTTGCGATTTTTGAGGCTTCGTTTTTTCCGCGTCCGGAATCGACGGTTGTCGCATCTAACAACATCGCATATGGCGGACGTGTCCATTTCCCTTTACATATAAATTATCACTGGTAACAACATTACTTCAACGACTTTTTCTTGTGGCAGCATAAGAGAGGTTGTGTTGGGCGGTAGGATATTGCCAATAGACATTAAATCTGCCTTTTGTAATCGCAATTTAAGGTGTTTCTAACAAATAATAAATATATATATAAAGAGAGGTCAACTCGTGCTTAATTGTCGTTCAATTCGATTATATGTCAGAGCGGCTGTTACGAATAAGGATTTAAGACAAATAAAATATCTGTCAAATGATTATTGACATCACTATGTGCGGCTGAAGCGGATCACTTACTTACAAAGCTGAAAAGGTTCTGGTGCCCAAAAATCGAATGGAAACATTATATCGATAAACACACACAGATACTGTAGTTAAGCGAAGAAATTTCTTGAATTAATAGTTAGTGCCTCGACAGTTTTTAAAACAACCTGTGGCACATTCTAACGACTCAATAAAACGCTCTGTAATAGGAGTAACCGAGATTATGACCTCGAAAATTTCGTACGGTCGTTAACGGGCGCTTTTGAAACGGCTCTCGTAACAATGTATCAAAACGGCGAGGGGCCGGGCGGCCTTCCCGGACCAAGGACATTAGGACAATGGCGCGAGTGCCCGGCACCCTAGTAGTACCAAACTACCGATTCATTATACCGGTCATAATTCACTAACTGCGCCGTGGTCAAACCGTTTGGCGCGCATTATTGTGGCGCTTTTCCGTGAAAAAATTTGGGTCAGTATGGAACGCAATAGAACCGCGGGCCACGTGCCGTAAACGAAAGAGAACGAAATAAGCGTAATCGGAGGCTGGTGTCAGCCACTTTCGGGGAACTCTGCACGCCGGCAGAAACGCGCAAGCAACGCCAAGGCCTTTCGAGCCGCCGGGCTGGCTCGACGCACTTGAAACATGAGCTTGATGACGAAACTTATCGTCCCATAATACGTTCCGTTTCGTGGAAGCCAATGAGGCAAGGTTACCTTTAAGCCCTTTTCAACCGACCTCATAAAAGGATGGTTTCAAGTCGTTTGTATGATTTTTATTTTTGTTACCTCAGAACCACTTCATTTATGTTTATGTATTTAAAAAATTTTGCACTGAGTTCGGTATAGCTACCATGTGGTCCTATATGTCATTGGTATTGGACCTTAGAATTTGGGGATACATCAGAGAACCCCAGGGACTATGTATAGTGAGATATTTGAAACTTAACCATCTCCGAGACATTGCTACAACTGAGGACCGACATAGGGGAGAAGTATTCATATTTTTGCGTTTTGTTTTCAGAGTGAGGTAACCGCCTCACTCTCCAAAAGGTTGGCAACGCTGCTGCATTTTTTCTAGTGCTGTGGATGTCAATGACAGGTGAAACAAAATAAAAAAATCAGGTAAACCGCATGCGCTGTCGAAGCTATTTCATGAAAACAAAATAATTTTTGTAATCCACGAATTGGTTTCAGGTAAAATTTTCGATTTGAACTTTTTATCTGTTCACAAATGAGATGGAGCCGCTTTTTGCCTTTTGTAGGGGCAGACTTACTCAAGTCTCTCCGTTTTATATTATTACAAAAGGTGGCAAGCAAGCTGACGGTTCACCAGATGTTTAGTGATAACACTGGCTACAAACACGTCGCAACCTTTTAATATAGTGGACGTCGGTTACCTCGCTAAGGACACGAAACTCCGAATTATAACACTTCTACTTCACGTCGGTCTTCTGCGATGTCGTGGTACTTCCCCGGACCTGCCCAATCGTTCAACAGCGACGACTGTTCTTCGGCAATGCGGATTTAACGCAGCCCAACGGTCTGATTCAAATGTAACCGACCGCCCCCGCGGATTCCAGTCACGTTGCTGATATCGCATTAATCCGGAGGAGCACGTTGTCACGCTGACGGATAAGGCGGTCCCGAGAAGCACGTTGTCCTGCGTGACACACGCTGACGGATAAGGCGGCGCGAACCTCAGCCGCGCCCGGAGCGGCGGAGCGCGCCGATTGGCGTCGAGTTTTTCCGAAGGTGAGGTCATCCCGAGTCAATTACCCCGAGCGGGCTCAAGACCACCTCTGACACGTTGCTCCGGCGCACGCAACGCGCCCGTTTTCGCGATTCGCGATCCACAGTCGAGGATGCCAACTTAGGAGCTTTCTTCCTAAATTTAGGAAGAAAAAATTTGCAATGCATGTTTTTAGGGCGTAAATTCGAAACCAAAACTTCGTGAAAATTTCTCATTTAGGAGGTTTTTGGTTAGAATTTGGTAAGTTTCAGTGGCTTTTTGAATAGCTCCGTGGATGTTATTCTTTAACAGCTGGTAACACTGGCCACAGTGCGCCCGATTTACGTCATCCCACAACGAGAATATGCCAATTATGTTGCTCATTGTTGATTTAATGTGTTGCAGCACTGTTCTGTGTCTGTAACTAGGCGTGAATGACGCATTGGGAACTAATAGCGCGTCTAGTTCTTCTAGAAACGACCGTCGACCTTAGACGAATGCGTTTTACGACCATTCCGCAATGTTCGCACTTGAAGGGCGAAAATTTAACCACAATGCAAATGTTTTTACGGCATAGCCTTCTTCAAATACGTAACGCTGAAGCATGGAACGCTAAGAATAATTAAAAGTGTAACCTAACTGTTCGGCGCTGGTTTTTTCTAGAAATTCCATTTTTATATTATGGTCAGTGGGCAAGCGTTACGTGATGGTTTAAACGATAAACTGGTTTACACAATGTACTCAAAGTAATCAAAACCAAACAATTGCGCTAAAGTGTACATAATAAATAAACAAAAGTTTCATAAGTAACCTATAATAATTATTTCTGACAATGGGAAGCCAAAACTGTACCATCATCATTTTATCAGCCATGGAATCTCGTTGATGGAAATATTCCTAATAAAGCTTACAGGTACATAATACAATAACAAAAACTAACGTACAATACGTAACAGTTCACGCAAAAATTCTATAGTCGGTCCGTTATATGGCCCAAAATCAAATCGATCTTAGGTTTGAGGCGATTAGCTGATTTTTAATCAGCTAATCGCCTCAAACCTAAGATTACTCTTGTGTTCTTCACCAACTACTAAGAATTTTCTGCTGCACTTATTCCGTAAACTTACACCTCAATAAAATTTCATCTATAAATTCATTTTACATTAAAGATGATTTACTTATGATGGCTTCTCTTCACATTCAGTTATTTTGTTGTTGCGTATTTAAATATAATCATAAGCGCCTATCACACCGAGGAATAGACGGTGACTGCTGATTTCCGCTATCCACGAATACCCAACAGTTCTTTGGTCTAATCTGCACTCCGACATTAAAACTAACAACGTTCTGATTCAGCCATTTTCAATCTGATGCTGATATCACGGCGCCCCGCGTAGACTACGGAGGTTTTCGCGTTAAGCCTAATTTCGTCGCATGTAGTGTTAGTTTCTATTCGTAATACGTCTGCGCTCTTTTGGCAACTGGCGAACGAGGAGACCTTGGCCGATTCGGCAGCCCGCGCCGAGGGCAAGGCCGCGCTCAATTAATAGCACCATGCGCCGGCCCCCGGGTGACACATCTAGCGGAGGATTATTCCGGCCACAGATTAAATAATATTTGGTGCAGCGCGCGGTAAAATGAGACGCGATGATACACAGATAAATATGAACTATGTTGGAAATAGAGTTATAATCGTTGTGTTAGTTTTGTTAGGTTGATGTGAGCTTGTAAAAGGAGTATAGCCAGTTAATTTTAGTTCCCTTCACACGTTTTCGTTTACAAACTGTAATACTCAGTGCGGCGTCAATGTTATAATACAGTACACTCACATTACACTCAGTCCGATTAATATGATCATATTAACTGTTGATCGGCTGTAAATAGTGTTCTAATCTTTTGTTAGAATGTGGTGAGATTGCAATGAGATCAGCACCAGTTAATTTTGGTTCCAAATAATAAATGTTTTCATTTAACGAGCTATCATGAGTGTTTATGATGGTTTCATTGTGTAATCTGTACATTATTTCCGACTATATAATTACTATATAATTTTGTAACTAATATTTAAAGATAACCTTCTAATTTAAATCTAAAATGCCTTAACGCGCGGAATTGAATTGTAAATAAGCGCTAAAGCGAATTTGAATTATTACGGAGCTCGCGCCCGACCGTGTGACGAGGAGCATTTCCTAGTTCGTGTCGGCACCTACGTGTCAATGCCGAATCGTACCGAATTAACCGCAATGTCGGAGACGTCAAGGTGATAGTAACACGGGGAAACGCTACTGTGATGTCTATTATCGCAAATAAAAATCTAGAATTGGCCATCGGGCGTTTAGAATGAGTCTCCTTAATAAAACCAGGTAAAGGTTTAGTTCAGTTAATTTCATTGTTAAAGTATTCGCGGACATAACAAAGGCTTCGATCGACCATCATTCGGTGTTGCAACTCGCCTTGATATTTACTCTATAGACACTTCCTGCCTCCGACAAAGGACGACCGCGAGCCGTCCGCGCTCGACGCAGTTAAGTTCGAAACGCCGCTCATATAGGCTCAAACTGGAGCGAACGTCGATTAAACTGAGGCGCACTGGGGCATTGAGTGAAGCGAACGCGTGGCAGTGAGGTACTGTGTGAAGCGAGTCGGTGCGGCAATCAGAGCGTCGCGAACCCCGGCTCGAATGATGCGCCACGTTGCATAATCGGTTGCACACCCGCGCGCTCGAGTTACGTGTAGCCGGCAAGAACACACCCACACAACAAGGAAGACCGTATCTGTTTTCCTAGTGTTACATTTACACGGCCTCGTTAGCCGCCGATAACGAACGTCTTGCGCCCGCTTTTTCCGCGCCGTTATCAATTTCATTAACCCAATTGAATGTCAAGTGTTCACTGAATCCCAACAGGGCCGCGACGTCATCCCAAATCGTCCCCATTCCGTCCGAGACTGCCGAGCGTCGCATTATACGGGTCTGCTCCATTTTTTCTCACTTCACAAGATCTGTGCGAAGAGCGCGCGTGCGAATATAAATTCGACTTGAACTTGCGCCGAATACATTCTGATTAGGTGCGGGGAGATATTGGCGAATGTAAGAGAATAGGAGTGGTTTTTGGTGGTGGCAAGCGCTAATTATGTGCGAGCAAATCAATGGTCGGTGACCTCAGCGGAGGACGTAATGATTATGTCGGAGGGACGGTGCGGGGGCGCGGGCCGGGTTATTGCGCAGCATTTTGCTCCTGAAAACGTGTCCGAAGAAAGTTCACGGCCGCGCGTTGACGCTACCACCTGCCGCCCCGCGGCCCCCTCACCCCCCCGCCCAGCCTTCCGCTCTCTCGCGCCCACACTGATAAGCCCCATCCGACGTTTATTGCCGACCCGATATAACCGGGTCCAGTTACTTTAAAGTGTACATTAGAACGCTCACGTTATACGATTTGTCGAAACTATTTCGCGACAGCTTCGGACCGTTAATCGGTCAACGCAAATTCGAATTGAACGAACGCTTTAATCGAAGTAGTTTTTCCGAGAGTTCGACTGTTCGTTGGTATGCGGCAGCATTCGTTTATTTATTTAATTGTAGTTAGCTTAATAGATGTTAAGCAGTGTTTTTAACACGGGGGGGGCTGGTGGGTAACACGCGGCCTTGGCGCGTTCGTTGGCCGCGCGGCGCGTGTACGGCGCGATAATTTCGGCGGTTGCGTCGAGTCTACTGACCCCGTCGTCGTTGTTTGCGACGCAAATGATCCTTGACTTTATTTAAATCGCCCACTCGGGCTTACACCCCATCCAGCGATGGTGTATCTAGGGTCAAACAGCTTACTATTCCAATTTAAGTACGAGTTTTATACGTTTATGGATCAGCGCGTCGCCGAATCATGTCTCTGTTAATATTTTCTGTCAAAAATATTTCTGTTACCAAATATTGCTGTAGTTTTCTACTTCTGTTGCGGTTAGATTTAAACAAGTTTATTCATTTCTCACTTCAAAACCAAATTGTACCAAATTTATATTTTTACAATATGGTATACATCCAAAAATGCGCACAAAATACTATTTAAATAATCGATAGAGCAACAAAATGAGCATCGGAGACTGGATAACTTGAAGTAACTGTGTCATCAATACAAATATCCCATTTGATAAAACCAGAAAATCATTCATTATGAATATCATGTAAAGATAATAATTATATACCTATTTTAATTTCTGGTAGGAAATGTTTCAAATAAGAAAATCATTGAAATACTTTAACAGCTTGACATGAACGTGAATCAGTCATTTAATTAAGGATTTAGTTAGATAGATCATTTAATTTAAGCCAATGTTGAGTGTATTTTTAGTATAGTAGTATTTCCTGTATAATGCAGTGTCTCTATGAGCTTTGGTTTTGTTTTATATAATCATCTACAATTAATACCAACTTCATGATGTCACGCGCTAAAATATTTGGTGGATAATTCGCAAATATCGTTATTGCGACGTTTATAATAAGGTTCAAAATGAATTGTTACTCTGTTGTTAGTTCGTGCCATTTGCTTCATCCTTACTAATATTATAAACGCGAAAGTTTGTATGTATGGATGGATATTTGTTACTCTTTCACGCAAATACTACTGAATGCATTTTAATGAAACTTTACAATAATACAGCTTATACATCAGAATAGGACATAGACTATAATTCATGTACATATTTTTATGTATATCTGTGTTTCTGTGCCTATTCTACGCAGACGTAGTCGCGGGCTAGTTGTATATATGTTTCATACGAATGTGTGGATTTCTTTATTTCAATTTAGCGAAGCCAAACTTTTCATACAAAAGTATTAACACTCCGAAGGCGGAGAAAGTAATTTATTACACGTAGAGAACTTTCATTTCACCACGAACCGGTTTCGATTATGTTTTTATCTATTGCAAAGTGATAGTGGTATTGGCGAATACATAACAGGCGTCACCGAAATTAACTTTCTATATGGAGCGACAAATATATGATACTTTTGTCTAATAGTAGGAACTCGTAATGCTTATGGCATGGTTACATAAAACAAATTTACTTTATTTCTATTTTTAAATTCCAAACACTTTGCAGCGTTCATCAGTTCAGTTCATTTTGACGCGTGGCCATGAAAAATTTTCGAAACGAATATGACAATTCGTAGTAAGTATTGGCGTTATTATCTATGTGATAGTAAACTGATTTACGGGTGAATAGTCAGTATGAGTTATTGTGCGAATGCCTACACAGGCCTGCGTCCGCGAAAGTATATGACAGCGTCATAGAAGTCGGGATGTGGAAGAATCGTCTTTATGCTTTCCATATTGAGAGGAGTAACCATAGCCTCTTTAAAACTATGGCACCGTATTTGTACTTAGCATCAGGTGAACCGTCAGTTCTCATGCTGCCTTCTAAATAATTTAATATTAAAATTTCTAATATAACTTCTATGCCAGCCGATATTTATATCTAAATAAACATTAACATTAATAATAATTAGTGTGTACTGTTTTGTATTGCCTACGAACTAAACATGTTTTTGTAACGAAAGTGTATTTTATAGAGCGATAATTCGAGTAGCCACTCGAATTGTGATATTTGAAAGGTAAGCAAATGTCATTGTACGTCAGCAATGTAAACATTATGTACTGGACCCGATTACCATTTTCGGTATTCGTGTTAACGTACCAAAGTAATCTGGCTCGCGGTCCGTTTCGAACGAAATCCGATCTTAAGCACAGCCGCTAAGGTGCGTTATCCATTACAGCGTGTTAAACGTCGACGAAAACTAAAATTAACAATAAAGCAGTCGTTCAACCTCAGATATGTATTATTAAACGCACCGCGAGCGTTTAAAAAAGTTTTCCTTTTGCGTACGGAATAGTTTTAAATTCGGGGCGGGTATTGGCAATGGGTAATTTGGACGCGCTGGCTGGAGCACTTCCTCGTACCACAGCTGGCGGAGAAACGCGCCAGACGGCAGGTCGTTGTGCGCCTAGGCGGAGGCTTAAAAATTAAACGCAACCTTTTGGCTTCTTTGTGGCGTTTTTATGGCGGAAGCCCGGGACACGTGGCGCACGCCGCGTGCCCGCTGCGGTCGTAACAGACGCCTAATTATACACCCAGGATTGCGGCTGCATATCGTCCTCTTATTTACTTTCCTCGTAGCAATCGAAAGTAGACCTTCGAAAGACGTTTTTGTGGCGATCCGAAGCACTTTATACAGATAACTTTCTTTACCGCGAATAAGTTATATAAGATGTGAACGCTGTATAATTAGTAATACCGTTGAAAACACCGTTTACCAGCTTAGTGAACAATGAAAGAAATAATGTAACGAAACGTAACAAAATCACTTCGATACTATCAAAAGAATGCGGTGCGTTCGCACGAATATAAACAATCATGCCCCAGAAACTGATACGAAGTACATATAATATTTTATTATAATGACGTGTGATATTTTGGACATAACTATTATGGATAGGGACATTTTCGATGATTGTTATCGATATTTTTGTCCACGGGCCGGGAATATGCGACACGGGCGGCGCTGGTGTCGCCGACCGCGTGTGCGTGCACTCAACCCGATGTACTCGTAACAGTGTCCATTCTTGCCGTTTCACTTCAGAGCGAATCGTAAAGCGGCCATTGCGCCGATACTTTTATTAATCACCCCGAAGTACTAATTTGCCAACACTTATTTGTATTTTCATATCATGGGCTTCATCGGAAGGGGTCGTCGTCGATTTTCGTGACCATTACGAATGAAAGAAAAGAAGTAGTAGTTTTTAGAAGGAGTAAGTGAAGAAGCTCATCATTACGAAGATCACCGTTAACGGTGAGTTTTTCAACCGTATTCTAAAGAATCACTCACAAGGGATGGGTGTTAGGGAACAAAATTCATATAGCCAAATGGCGGTCAGAAATGACTTATTATTGGCGTTTTGTTAAGACCATCCTTAGGTCAAATGTTTTTTGTTTCTATTCACGCGAGGGAGTCTTTCCTTTCCGATTTAAATAGAGGCTACCTAACAAATATCGTGACCCACATTGTCAGAGGATCAGAGAGCAACCAGTGTGCTAAAGACCATCTGTGCTCCGAACAAAGCTTTCATAAAAACGGCTAACCCTTAAGCGAACTTCCTTTTAATTTCGATTTTTCGGATTCCAAACTTTTCACGGTTTTTTTGCGCAAAAAATCACAGGTAAATCCGCATAGGCTCATTGGTAAAAAATCCCACTCCGAGATTCGCCACCCTTTCTTTTGATATCGTATTACGAAAACAGGTAAACTATAACTTTTTGCTCGATCCGCGTTGCATCTTTGTGCAATTTCGCGATATCCATCCAACTCTTCTGCGAACTTTGAAAAAAAACATCCCCCGGACGATTGTTCGACGGAGACCCTTTCGCGGGCGAAAAAATTCCGATTGAACCTTACAAAGATTCAATTTTTTAACATCCTTTTGTTGGACGATTTTATAACCGACATTCCCAGATAGTCGACGCTTTGTGTCCTCACTAAACGATATCGCCCTATCTCGCTGCAAAAATATGTGTCTTAATGACAAAATACCAGCGGGACGCCTCGAAATATTTTCACAATATGATTCACATAATTTACCTATTTATTCGGAGGTTGACATACAACGTGGAATTACACGTTTGATGAATGTCTATTAATAAAACGTGTCCATTGTTCATTACAGCCGTCATAAAAGCTGACACGTGAATGCCGAACTTCAAATGGATTGATTGTATAACAATTTTTTCCGCAGTTATTGAAAAAGCCCTAGCTTTTGCTACGCTCATTACGCAGTCCTTACTTTTAACTTTGCGCGTCATCGTTTACGTTTTCAACAATGGACAGTCCGGGGAAGTTTATGCGGTTCATTTAGGTGAGAGGTGCAGCGGGACGCTCGGACCTCATTACGTCGTAAATCGTCGTTACAATTGGCGCAATTTTTGCGTTCGAAATTCGAACTCTGTATTTTCTTAGCCTGAGGCAACAGGGGCGTGTCTACGGCCAGCGTACCCGGCTGTTACGTATGCAATAGGAGTTGCAGTTGCATCGGCGCGCGATCGCACGACAATTGCGATGACGATGCGCGGGTATAGGGCGAGCCCCGTTAGGACGAGGTGACTGACTCCACCACTGCAGCCTGGTGCATTGTGCTCTAACGAGAACGCATTACGCGATCATAACTCCAAAGCTAAAGTTTACCGATACCGCTCCGCCGGGCCGGCAACAGCTCTGTCACTCACCTGCGGCAAAGAAAAAAAAAACAATTGGTATGTTGGTGAAGTTGGTCGAACACACGTGTCACATAATGCATTGAAAGGATTTATTTAATGTATATCTGCCAAATTTGTGAATTTAATCTTTCCAATAAATTAAAAAATTTGCAAATTTATTTTTATTTGAACACAGTAAATCCAATAAACTACTTTGTGATTAATTTCTATCTTTAGCAATACATAATATTACATCTATAAATTGTTAACCGACTCCAAAAAAGAAGGAGGTTTCTAAATTCGATCGTATATATTTTTATTTTTTTTGATGTGTGTCCGCGGATAACTTGGTCGTTTATGAACCGATTTTAATGATTATTTTTTTGTTGGAAAGGAAATATCCCAAGGGTATCCAAGGAAACTCGGATCTAATGACAGCATCCCTGAGAAATCGAAGGCAATCTTCAAAAGTTGTTGACAATGTTTTTAGTTTCCTGTTTGAAGTCTGTTTCCTTTTGTTAGAAATTATTTATAGGTATACATATTTTCTCTATAAATTTTACTTATGTTTTGCGTATACATTATAGTATCGTCGGCGATGTGCGTCGGCGTGCGATGTGTGGAGTTTTGAGAATTCGAGCGGTAATTCTTTTCGTCGGCGCAGCGATCGCTTCGGGTCAACGCTCGAAATGGTGTCGTTCACTGTCGAAGGCAGCTACCGTACTCGGCCCGGTTGTCCTTGAAACCGCCACCGAAATCGCCAATCGCGGGGCAAGCGCAAGAAAGTCGCGCTGCGCGCACGAATGGTCTCGGAAAGCTGCTCGACACGTTAAAATTACCCAGACACAATTGCCAGAGGAGACAACGAGCGAGTGTTTTTGTATTTCGAATACATTCTCTTTTTACAAAAGCGTTTATGTTTTAATATTTTTTTTTATTTCATGAACTCCTATTAGGTTTCGCCTGTTCACATCGAATGCGAGTGAATGGTAATCTCAGAATGTAGTCACCATTCACTCACATTCAATGAAGATCGAATGAATAAAATAAAGACGGTGTGGACTGCAAACCGCTGCGTTCAGTTCGTTGTAAGCGCGCCGGAACGCGTAATAAGCGTGGATATCGATTATAATGAAACGTACAAGCGCACAACAGCGCCGAAGCTTCCAACGGAGGCCTCGGGCACTGACCGCCGCCGAATCTCAAGGTCCGCCGTGCAGAACGCGGTTCGCTGTAAACAAGCGACGGCGAAACTATCGTATGCCGCATTATGTATGACGGGTTTTTAAAATACGTTTCCTGTATACTAGTCACAGCCTTTATAGTTTTGTACATTTCCACGGACACGTGTGTTGTTATTAAACATTTAAATGTTAAGATTCAGGAGGACGAAACATACTAAGTGAGTTTACTTTAAATTATTTTATTTGCCAAGAGTTTGTCATCAATTTTATGGTATAGGCAACATCTGGTGTTTTCTTTTCACTCGATTTTTATTGCTTCACCAAAATGTTATAGGTATGAGAGTTTTTTTTTTAATTGTAGTAAATTGTACTCGCTTAAGTATAAAACATATTATATGGAGAGAATTGCCTTGTTTATTCATTTCGTAATTTATTGTGCAATCTTTCAAACGTTACATACTATTTAATACAATCTTGTTATCGTGCTAATTATGATTGATAACAGAAATCTATAATTTCTAAAAGCGTGAAAAGAATGTGGAAATTATAAAATCCTACAAAACAACTCAAAAACCTACCATGTTTCGTGCGTTCGTAAAACAGCGATGATAAATTTGGAGGCATACAAATACAAACCTTGAATAGGAATCGCGGGCGGCCGAGAGTTCGATATCTTATGCAAATCGAGTGGGTGCTAATACGCAGGCCGTTTGAAAAACAACCATGATCGATGTACGCCGCAGGCATTGCCTTTGGCACTTCCGTCACTCTTCCTGGCAAGTGGGCAAGCGTTCGGGTATACTCCACTACATTTATTTTCTTACCGATAGATAACAACTTGTACCCATTTTCAAAATCATAACAACAGTTTTTTTTTCTCCCATAACTAATGAACATAAAATAATATTAATGTAAATTATGTAGATCATAGATGTGTACGAGTTTCTAAAAGAATGTAGAGAACCTGAATGAACGATGATGAATGAAAGGAATATGAATTGTTGATAATAAACTTTAATATATCATATAGTTAGTTTTAATTACTTTAGTTTAAATTTTTATCACGCATAGTGGTTATTTTGTATTAAGTAGGCAAAGGATTTTGTATGGACGTCCGTTATATCGCCTACGCCGCTACGCTCCGCTACAACGTCGTAGCAGGGCAGCAGAGGGCGAGAGGGCCTTATTAGTAAAGTCGGTTCTCGTTTCGAGGTCTGTGGGCAAGGCGAGCGCGCGATTTGGGGAAGGGGACCAACGGTTACGGGGCCGCGGGAGTCGGCCGCCATCTTGCGCGAATAGGGACAACGGTTATAATTGCTCATTCCATTAAAATTAAAATTTATGTGTATCATTTGAATATGTTACTTTAACATATCCATCTTATACGTGTTTACACGTTTAAATTATTGCTTTGATATATATTATATATATTTGATAAAATTATAAATTAAAAATAGTTTTTAAATACTATTTAAACATTAATGTACCAATACTCAAATTAGCTTGTTTATTACATTGGAATCAAAACTATTGTTTTAATTACAATGGAATATTTCGGTGACGCCATGTTACCTACTTGCAATTTAATTTCCTTTTATCAAGTTCATTGACACTTTATCGCTTTACCTTGAAGTTGTCACGTTCGTCTGATATATCGGCGTCGAAAGTTGGCGCTTTATGTGTTTGCGAGCGAAAGACTGTCAAGGGTGTGACGTCACAGATTATATCGCGCCATTTCGCGACCGGGTGATAATGGTAGAGGTGATTGGTCGTCGAACCCGCGGCGGAATCCGATCCGGGTGAAGAAGTAGGTTTAGTAGAAATTTGATGCTAGGAGAGCTCTTCCTGGACTGAGTTGTTTCGAACGGCGCTAGAGTAGATCGAGTGTCGCGAATTAGCTCGATCTTCTAGCTGTCGAAGCGTCCGCCCGCCGTCGCAGTGTCGATGCCCCGGCCGAACTTTCCACTTGTTAAACTTGATTATTGATACATGGCTGCCCGCCCCGGGTAAACAACGTTACGTAACCGACGACTCGGATTTCTAAACTTGCGGCCGGAATGCACCGCGCCGCTGCCGCGGTACGTGTTGCCGACGTTAAAATAGAAACGGGGAAGCTTTCGGCTGCCCGCTTGCTTTTGGTATATATACGTCGACGAGTTGAAACTCGAATTACGGACAAACAATTCGTTGTTCGACAGCGCAACTGGATCCATTTTGATAACATCTCATCCACTTCTATATTTACGAAGGACAGCTGAAAGAAGTACCAGATTCTCACCTCGCTACCGAACGCAGTGCGTTTGATCGATAATAAATCTCGTCCCCTACCATGTTTACGAAAGTCGAGTTGAAAGAACTCCCGTGTGGTTCGAGCGCGAGTTCGTTTGCATCTCGTCATCGAACTCGTTTAACGTGCGAATAGTGAATTCCAGTCAGCGAAGGGAGACGTACGGTGTTACGTGTGCCATAGATCGTGGGCGATAACGCGACACGCATGCGCGGCGCGTAATCGGGCAGGATTCGCACGAGGATGAGTGCAGGCGATGCACCGAGGCGATGCGGGAAAGAGACGCAGCGAGTTCAATGGTATTCGATATAGTGCAGCAGAGTTCCTTAACCCCTTAGCCTACCTGCAGTTCCCGCGAATGGGGCGACGTGGTCGTTGTCCCTGACTGTACCACTATCGGCCACGTAGCTTTTTAGGTCGCCTGTACAGTCAGCACGCAACTATTCTACTCATTCTCGTTAGTTTTTTTTTTCATTTGTCTTTTTCCGTTTTGTTATTTTGAAACAGTGACAAAATCGATTGAGTTTGACGTTTCTCTTTTTAATAATTCAATGACGCATTCTCGCTGTATTATTGAATGAAATTATCAGAGGATCTGAAATTGTTTAAGAAACCCAAAACAACATTTAGATTAAGATAGAGAATTATAGATGGCGTTCAAATGATCACCGAAACATGTTTTTAGCGCTTTCCGTGCGGACTATCGGCCGTAGTGATGCAACCGATTGTGTAGTTATTCCATTCGCGTTTCCAACGAGCTGAGCTGTTTCGAATGATAACTATGATCTAGGATTTTACAAATTCGCAGCAGGTGTAGGGTGCGCTGCGCGGGCGGCGGGACGGGGCCGTGGACTGGTTTCCGTTGTTTCGCAATAACGCGGGTTCAATGACGCCACCGTACTTATAATTATTGGCGGTGTGTCACGCCCCTCCACTGGTTCCACGCAGCTCTTGGCGATGCCCAGCACGTGTGGCGCGTAGCCCGCAGTCATGGGGCATTCCTCGATAATTCAAGCAGAGAGCTAAGATGCTTGCCCTTACATCCTAGTTAAGGAAGAAGTCCCAATTGTCGCCCACTCTCGGCGATAGCGAGCCGATATTTATAGGAGGGCGACGTCGGAATTTATTTGTCTACTGACCTAGAAAGCCGATAGCGACGAAAGTAAACGGCCGTGATTGATAAATAATTCATATATATACTAAATAAACACTCGAATTGTTCCGATATTTATCCTTTGCCAGCGAATTGATTTTCTATTGGTTTAAATTTTCCCGGAAGCGGCGGCGTTCTTTTTTCAAATTTAATATATTCAGCAGGCCATTGTATTCAATTACGAGATTATAGAAGGAAAATTAATTATTGTTTTAAATATAATGTTGTCCGTGGAATTTGATGTACAGTCAAGTTGAAAAGCGAATTCCTATTTAAGTCCTTTAAAAAGTATGATTTGGTTAATACATATGGTGTCCATTATTTTGTATGTTGAATGAGGCTGTGTATAGTGTACCGCACGTGGCGAGGCCTTCCCACTCGGGGATCGTTGCAACCGTAAGACGGAGAGCCGTAGCTGGGTGCGTGGCGGTGGCGCGGCGTTGACCTCGCGCGCGAGCGACGACCCACGGCCAAGACGTCGGCGCCTAGGCCGGTCGCGGCCGAGTCGCTGGCGCGCGAAATCGGCCCCACTGTCGACGACCGTACCGTAAGTACAATCGCGTGAATCCGATATCAGCGACGTGCGCAATACACTGTTTAGAGCGTATCCGACTGTAAGTATCATCGCGCCCACAAGTCTCATAGAGATTTTGCACCGCGGAAAATACTGACCTACTGAGCGACTAATTAATTCATTCGAATCGTATGTACAGTCTCGTTAAAATGTCTCAAATATATTTCATCTCAAATATTCCGTCCGGCTATGGTCCTCGAAACCGTAAGAACAAACATTTCCACATGACATGTTGATTACCGACTAACGAAAAAAAAAACGATCACACCATCAAAACTTACTAATTTCGAATCTTAGTCAAACTTCGTGTTTAATGTCAAAGTTGAATATAAAAGAATACAATTTTTCTAGTGCATTGCGAGGGCTGTGTCGATCTCTTTGTTGTTGAATTTGAACAAGTGCAGGGCGACGGGCGGTGAGATAAATCGGGTGTAGAATTAAGATAACGCCGATAATATGTAAATTCTCGAAATAACGTCCGGGTGTACACTAGCGGGTGTCGTAAGCGGCGTGGTCGATGACTCCGAACGTTCTAGTACATCTCTCCGTGCGCCGTTACGTAATCGCGTGAAAGTTGACATCCGCTCCGCAACGCAACGCAACGCAACAGAGCGACGGCGGTTTCTTGCTGAGTCAACGTACGCTGCAACGGCACGCCGAAACCTTCGGTTCTCTAATTAGATTTGTTCTCATCGCCGTCGGCGCGGGGAAAAACTCTGGGCGGGGTCAACGACCGGAGGCATCTGTATCGCCGTATCACCGCGGATTTTACTTACACTGATATATTCGTGTTAGTTCGAAAGCGAGACGTGATCGCTTTATTAGCCGCCCGGTGAAATGAATAAACACGAGTTGGGTTGTACAAGCTCCGAAAGCACATGTTAAACATTTGTCGTTTAAAGAAGTCGGCGGAAGAGAGGGGAGTGTGATCGAAAGGAAGAAAGAATTACTCCCCGACACACTCATGCATACGTAATTTAAATTTTATACATGCATACTTTAATCTCTTCTTTCCCAAAAAAAAAAGATTTTTTTTTCCCACGGAAAACGCAAAAAACATATTACATTAGTGTTATACGTTTACTTTAATATTTTGGTTAAATATGGATTTTAAACGGAACCGAGTTTTGTATCGAACTTGAATGACGTATCAATGTCAATTGCATGCTAGATACTGGCATCCGTCTCTGGCGTGGACAACACTAAATGTCATTGTCGTAACGTTATCACGGGCGAGCAGTTTTTATATAATTCTGGGTCGTTGTACCGAGGCGGTGTTGTCTTATCGCCGTGGAGCCGCCGGGCGAGCTATGTATGTCAGCGATAAGCGGCCCCGTCGGAGCAAAACAAAGGAGCCACCGCAAAGAAAGTCGGCCCCGCGTCCATGTGGAAATGGGAGACGGTGTTCCGGATGAGCGGAGCGGCCTTCCTCCTCCATCCGGACGGGATCTGCTTAAGCGGTCATCGCACCTGCTCTTACCGAAAGAAATTTCCAAGTCCACTTCCTATTTCTTTTTAACACTGTTTCTTAAAGTTTGCTCTAATCGAAGGAAGCCACCCTTTCCTAGTACCCTTTCTATTTCTTAGTGTTTCTTAAGTTTTGCTTTGACCATAAAAAGTCACTCTTCGATAGTCCCCTTCCTATTTCTTACCAATACTGTTTCTTAATTTTGCCAATGCATCAGCAAACCCTTAAGCAGTCGGTCAATATGATGTTTAGTGATCATGGTGATCACTAAACATCAGATGACCAACTCCTCTTTTAGCATCCTCATGTTTTATATTAAAACATTTTTGGACTGATCATACTTTTGAAGTGATAAGATTCAGAAGTTATGTTTTTGATCGCTTTGATTTTTTTGATTTTGTTTTTGATTTTTTTGTTGATGATTCGCTTAGAGAATTTTTATAAGTGCTTACTCGTCTTAGTCCTTAATATATTAAATTTGGTTTTTGGTTCAGTAAAGTTCATGAAAAATTAATAATGCTGACTGATCAAAACTATTCAGCTGGTAAATATGCCAGTGAAAGGTGTACCTTATTTTAAACTTGTTTAAGTTCATTTTAGATATACTGTTCGATTAGTTAAAAGACACTTAGACCTTTTTTTAGAAAACTAAACTTTTTGTTAGCGAAAATTCAAACTCAATTCCTTTAGAAATAAAAGAAAATGAAGATTGGATTTAGTTGTAAAATAAAATAGAGTCTAAAGTAAACAAATAAGTAAATAGCACAGTTAAATTTGAAATTCCTCAAGTCAATCTCCATAGATTTTGAAACATTTGTTCATTTAGATGAATAATGTATATCAAAAGATGATAATTTACAGTTGCGATCAGAATCGTCTATTGACGTTCAACTAAAATCAAAATTCGTTCCATCGTCAAGTGGATTTATACACAAAACTAAAAATATTAATTTTTTTAGACTGAACTTTGCCGATGAACGTATTTAATGTCCCTACGCTAAGCGCGACTCACGTTCGCCGTGGTAACTTATTTATTTACATATTTTATTTTTATTAGGCGTCGGCATCATATAGTGAAATTTATGTGTTTTAATAACATATATACACAGAAAATTGGCGCTTGTCTAATAATCAACAAAACTCCCAAGGCACGAAAGTCCCGACGCTCTTCTATGTTCGACTCGCGGATCAATATTCATCGCCGCCTAGACGGGGTCGTACGTTAAATAATCGCTTCCCGTTGACCACATGCGTGCATCGCAGACGTGTCAACGCACCCGGCCTGACTCACCGGCGGCGCGAATAGCGGAATCCCACACAGGCGCCGAGGAAAACCTACCATGATCCCGATCTGACAGTGCACGTATCAAATGGCATCGTCAAATGCGAAGGCTACACCGCCGCGGACAGTGCAAGCGTCAAATCAAAGAGCGTCGCCCCTAAGGCGCGAACTGGCCAAAGACAGTAGACTCATCAAATCAAATAGTATCGTCGAAAACATAAAGCCCAACATTTTTAAATGAACATTCAAGAGCGCTCGATCATATTGTCCTGTGCAAGTTATGAATCTTTTGTCCGCGTCATGGATTGATCAAGATCGTTTCATATTTTATTAAAAAAACTTAATGCAGACGAATTATTTCAATCTATAACTTTATGGTAAATGTCTCAGTATTAAATGAGAACCGAGTGAGTTATTGAGTTAAATAAGGAAATTGTGAAAAATTTTAATAATATACTCTATTTACTCTATTGATTATAATTTCTTATTTAACATAATTATCGTTTTGCTAAATTATTTACTAATCTCATGCTTATTGTTCAGAGGGTGTAATTTTTTTTCAAATGAATATAGTTTTAATTTTTAAATCTATCAAATTAAAATTTCTTTTCATTGTTTCCACTAGATAATAATCTCTATCTCGGCGATACTACAGCATAAAAAGATATATATTATATTATTCGGTGGAAACATTTGCTTTCTATTTATCTTTAGCAGATTACGCCGATAGAGCGCGCTGGGTGAACGACCACGGATTCGATATTTGTACAATTGTGTTTGTAGATTCGCTCCAAGGACGCCGTTTACGTCAAGGGGTAATAGACGCACTGGCCGAGACTAGCACGTTAAGGCATTTTATCCTTTGCGCAATTGGGATAGGGTTTATTGTGCAAAAGCTAAATGAGACAGCGCGGTCGGCGCGTTCGTGTGCGTAGAATGAAACGACCGCCGGATTCGCGGGTCGACGCTGCCGGCCAATCTGGTATAGAGAAATTCCAAAACAGCGTCTTATTAGCGTTTATGTGATATTAAATTTATTTAGTTCGCGCGCGAAACGAATGACGATATCGCAACGCGCGGCGTTGAAGTGGTGTCGCTCACGGAGCGGGGAACACTTGCCCGAGAACGAGACGGCAGGGGTCGTTCACCCTCACCACCCTACCGTCGCCCACCCCATCAAATATTTGCCCACCTCTTTGCAATTACGGGAGGCGTCACTAGCGCAAAAGTCAAATGGGAAAACATAAATACAAAAATTACCGCCTCCACAGTTTTTAAACTTATGCTATTCAAGTGATACTCACTTTCATTGTCATTAACCGAGCTGGTAAATGTTCATTCCTTATTTATAACCAACTTCATATTATTATGTATTTCGTAACATGGATGTTAAACGTAGTCCGTGGGGATCAAAGAAACTCGGATTCGAAAGCTTGGTGCGATGGCGCGAGAACGCTCATCTATTCAGGACATGTCGCGCGATCCTATCGCCGGGCCCGCGCAGGATTGTTCTAGACTAGAGCTGTACAGTTAGCTAACGGCGCGGCCAATTCCTCGTGCGCATTCGTCGCATTGTTATTACTTATTAATCTCGACGCGGACGGCGCTTTACATCGCTTTATTTTCGTCGGCTGGCCTAGCTTCGTGTGTAGCTGGGCCTGCGCCGCCGATGCAGGGGAGCCGCGATGGCGTCGCACGGGCAACGACCGCGGGAACTTGTAACCACATCCGGGCCCAGGGCCGAGAGGCCGTAAGCGCCGCACCGCAGACGCGCGCTTAGGCCGTTCCGACACGCGTCGCACAGAGCGCTTTGAACCCGCGCCCGGGCCACGCGACACCGAAAAGCTGTGCACAATTAATGGGTTCACAAATAATACTTACGACACGTAAACGTCGCGGTCGAGATGGCCAATCAGACCCAAGCCCGCTCGTGAGTGGCGCGTTTCGTTGGAGTCCATTCAATGCCGCCACGTGATCGCAATTTACCGGAAGCAGAGGGCCCGAGAGATCTCATGAGGTTAGCACACTGGCAGAATTGGCGGGCGGGCGCCGCGGTGGAAATGGAAAATCGCGAGGTGCAGCGAGGCCGGGTGCGCCGGGGTGAGGGGGGAGGGAGGGCGGGGAGGGGGCCCCGGGCATTCGCGTGCACTGGCCTATATGCAGTGCGACGACACTGCGCCCGGGAGCGATGCACTCTAAGTACACAGAGTCGCGCACTAGACGCACACTCAGCCGCACACCTATTCCCCCCCCCCCCCCCGCGCCGTGCAGGGCGTCAAAGAGTCTCGCTTTACAATCTCTTGAAAGGACTCCCGACTCTGGAGGAGATTGAAATGCCGTCCTGCACAAATAAAACACCGGCGGCTCGAGGAAATATGCATTCGTCAGTGAAAAAACCCTCCGCGTGATTTGCACGAATCTTGTGAACACTGATACTCGGTGAGATGTATTGCTAGATTTATTACTTACTCGGGCGAATATTTACAACGATGTCAATTACCTAAGCTACGCTTATTTGTTCAAGAAAAACTCAATCTATAAAATGTTATGTGGAAACGATTGAAAAAATTGTAAAAAAAACATTGTTTTCTACAAAGTTTTAATTACTTAAAAATTTTCATAAAGAGTTGAGCAAGATCAAGTATATTTCAATTGTAAAGTGACATCGTATAAAAGTTTTGAAGCTACGGCTACATTCACAAGAAGCGTTCCATAATATAAAATAGAGCGACCGAACTAAAACGACGCTTAACTCGCCAGTTTTCTATTCCGAAGATAGAAAATTATGTAAGAGAGAGCGAAAGTAAAATCCGACAAGAAAACGCGGCAACGCTAAGTCGGGGTGAGATCTCGAATGCCCGAGAACTTTCCGAGGCTCAACGGTCAAGTCACCGCCGGTTAGTGGATCAAAGAAATGTAATGCTTTGCAGCTATAATATCGGCTCCTAAGGTGCCGAGTCGGGTCTTGGAACCGGCTTGGGTCAGAGCAGATGGTAGACTCTGGATTGATAATTTCTACAGAGTAAGCGGCCTCCAAAACTAGTGATAATTGGTCACAACTGTCTATAGATTAACAACACGAGAGATTCAATGCGTTTTTGACTACAAATGAAATTTGATTTATTTGTCGAAAATTTTTCCTGCGATCAATGGTGAAGGAACACATCGTGAGGAAACCTGCATATTTCCGAAATAATAACAAAAAATATTTCGAAGATTTTTATAAGACTTTTTTTATTTTTAATGCTATAATAAAACTCAGACGCACTCTAGAATAAAATTTAAATTGTAAATTTTTGTACATAAATGAACAAAAATTTTCCTATTTAAAAAAAAAACCTATGTCTTCTCCTCTTAAACAAACGCCCAGGGCGCGAGACCGGGACACGTAGGGTCGAATCCCACAATCTAAAACTTTAAGTATTCTGACGATATGTAAAGTCCGCCCATCCACGGTGAGGTCTCATGCTGGACTATGCCCAGATACCCTCAGTACATAGTAGGCCTTCCGCAATGGGACATATGTGCTGTTGCTTCACCTTTCTTTTACCATGTACGAAACTTATGTAACGCGTACGAGAGTCGATGGATGCATAAGAAAGTGGATAGAGCGTTCGAAAGTGGAACGGATGTCGTTGCACCGCGATGGCGTGGCGGTGCAGCGGAGCGGGGTGACCGTGTCCGTTGCAGGGCGTCGTTCCGGTCCGAATGTCCGGAACGGCCGCCCGCGTCACCGGTCTCGATCCGCAGCAATTATGCAGTTTCACGGTTTTACTTTTATCGCGCCCCGTAGCTAAGCAACGCGGGCGGTTCACATTTTCCGGACGGTTTAAATCGCATTCAAACATAGGATTGACACTAACACAGACAATGAGACGTTTAACGCAACGGAAGGCGACGGGGCCTGTCGTCAATGTTTCCGTAAAAGCCCGCGAAAATGCCAGTTTTCGCGGACTGATTTGCTCAACTTGGGTTTTTGTGTTTCGCTAAACTGGGTTACTCACGCCTATTCCCTGTTGCTGAAAGCGAAAACATCGCCCGATAATAGCAGCGATAAGCTTACGTAAATATAGTACAAATATTGAAGCGATTTTAAAGACATAATGCTAAAGGTTCGAAATTACGGCATTTATATAATATATGGCTATAAAGTACAAAAAGTTAACATTCTCCCAAAAAAGAAATACTACAGCGTTTCCGTTTAAATAATTAAGAAAAGCCAATCTGTTACGGTCAACCAGAAAAGCGAGTCGATATCATTCGTCGCGCACACGTCAGGCACGGCATTAAATAATTAAGATTATCGTTGGTGGATAGGGCCACTTGAGCTTATCGATTTATTATATCAGTTGGCGTGGGTTCAATGAACCCGACGCAATAGCGCCGCTTTGAAATCGTGATACACCTCACGCTCACCTGCTTGTTGATTCGGCGGTTCGATTTCCTCGCGGCCAACTTCCATATCGCACGGCGATTTCGACCGAGGTTAGGACGCGCGCGCGGCCGAGGGCAGTTTGGCGCGAAAGCCGCCTGCGACGTAAGCCAAAGCGTGGGCGAGCGCATGCGCCCTCTACGTCAACCTCACCCCACAGACCCAAATCACGCGTTCAATCTCGCATTTATAATTAGCCCCCGCGCGAATATTATTTTTAACATTATATAAATTCGAGATGTCAGGTTTTGCAGGATATCGATTTTTGTAAATGCCGTAACTTGGGCAATCGAATTGAACTATTTACAGCTGTCAATGAAATAATATCACTCAATATCTTACTTTTAAAGAGTTCGATTTTTAAATTCGCCGAAATTTGATTCACATTAATAAATACGAGTATATCTTTCATTGGATTGTCACGTTTAACCGCCAAATGTTGAAACGGCATTTGGTGAGAGCGATAAAATTCCCGTGCCGGGGTGGAAAGCGCCCCCACGCCGGTTATTTGTGGAGGAACGGGGGGACAGGGGTCGCCCGAGTTCACGGTCACCGCCCGTTTCTCACCCCTACAGCTACCCGCCGAGCTGAACCGGGGAGCTATTTTTAGTCCTCCGGAATTGTTCGTGTTTCGACATAAAGCTGGTTGTTTCTAATTTTAAAGATGCTTTATGAAATACACAGTGAACTTTTATGCTTTTCAGTTATTCTAAAATTCCTAAAAGTATCTAAAAGTAAAAATATATATCTACACATAAATGGTAATAGATCATGTAATACATTATTATAATATAATATATCAGTTATTTTTATTCTAATTGGTCTAAATTTCGTAATAAATATCGTTGGACGAACGTTAACATTTACAATAAAATTAAAAAGCAACTAAAGCAAGCAAATAAATTAACAAGCAAAGCGCAACTGACATTTTTTTCTGGGAAAGTGTATTAATGGATATTTGTTACAGGTAACGCTAATATTTGCCAAAATTTTTAGTTTATTGAGCACTTACGGCCTAGAGTATATTAAAAATTTTAAACATTAATCAAATTTATTACTTTACAAGTATTAATTACAACATTAATTCGACAACGTTCAACATAACGCAGATAACATATATTTTTAATCAAATGCAGAGATGTTATCGTTCACGGCTTTAAGATGTCAGCGACATCTATTGAAATTTTATACAACATTCTACTCGCCACCAGATGGCGGGACCAGACGACACAAATTATTATAACAGAGATTGTGAGGTTTTCTGATGATTACTTTGTAGCAACTACTGTTTGTCATGTTTTGATAAACAGATAGCATCTAGATAACGAACACATACACGTTTAATAAAACTGTACTTTTTAATTTCATTGATTTAGTTTCGTGAAATAAATATGAACCTGCGAAGAATTAAAAGTTACATTAATAAATATAGGTATATTATAATATAATTTGAAAAAAAAAGAAAAAAAGTATTTTCCTTTATTTCTGCCACTATCGTATTAATCAGAAATATGAAAACGAAAGGACCAGAGATCGTCGGACTCTATGACATGTGGTCCGATTTCCTGAGGAAGTGTATAAGTGACATTCAAATGGCCCGGAAACTTTGTCGGGGGAAGGGCGGGCTGGGGTCGTCGACCTCGCTCCCTAACCCACTCTGTGAATATTTAGAGCAAGTAGCTCGTTCGAGTTAGCTAGGCCTACCGCTATGTGGCTCACGCTGACTCAGGCCGGCTTAATCATCAACTTCGACTAGAGTGCCGTAAGTGTGTATGTTCCTATATGCCGTGTTATATTTCTATTACGATAATTCTCCACTTTTCCATTGTATTTTTCTTCCTCTAAAAGCGTTAGCGGTGCTAGTAAGTGAGCGGGTAATTTAAGAAGAATAATACTAAAGCAATAAGTACTGTATAATGCGATAAGCATTTTTATCAAGCGTCAGTTTTACTTTCGTTGAGAGTTAATTTGACTTCAAGTCTTAGATTAATTCAGTATGTTAATTAATACTCTTTTGGAACTTAGTTTTTGCATGTATTCTGTCTTATTTCTGAATAATAATAGTATGAATACATTTTAAACACTACATCGTGATAGTTAATGCTAACGAAAATATTAAATTTAGAAACAAATTCAGGATTATTTGGATTAATTGTTAAAAGAATAGCACAACTGATTAATTATAGAAACGTTAAGAGATCGTGGACGAGGAGACATTCTCTTATGTTAATTATTGTCAACACAACGTTTGTTGAAGTCTTGACGTCTTCAAGCAACGACTAGAAGAATGCGCCTGTGGTTAAAATAGGCTATGAGAACATAAAAAAAGGTATTGACCCCAATTAATCCGGAGGACCTTTTGTTAATTCACGAGTTTATGAGAAGTCTCGGTTGTCAGCAATGTGTTTATCGCCAATGCCCGTGGCTTGGCGTCTTATATAACAGCGACTTGCAGTTATGACGTGATGCTACCTACATATGTATACATTATGCGCACAGTACTATGCGATGAATAGAAGTTGTGTAAGAGTTAGTTTCATGAATTTGCTCACGTTCTATTAGTATCTATGTGTGGTGTTAAAGCATAATGCATGAATTACTTTTTCAATATTATGAGACAAGGCAGTATTAAGAGAAATATAATAATCAAACAAACTATGTTTCTGCTTATATTAGTTATTTAAGATATGTTTCATGATTTTTATACTGTTTTCTCTATTGCATCCTATGTTTACATCTTGATTATCTTTGAAGAATTTGAAAGTACGAAGTATTTTTTTTTGTACCAAAAACCAATTTTTAAATGTACCAAAAGATGAGAGCTAAAAAGTACTAAATTAATAATTCAATAAGTAATTCTACTCTTTTTGTATACACACGGCGCTAAGTAACCTAATGTTTATATTTTGTTGGATAATCTAGATTGTTTACTTTTTGTACAGGAAACAAAAAGGTTTTAGCTAAGCTACCCCTTCTATTTAAAACAAAATTAGAAACAGATTAAAACGCGTGATTGAGACCTACTCAGAAATATGCACGCATGGCAACCCACATAATGATCTCGCCCGATTAAATCGTGTGTCTATGCAAAAGTATTCCAAGAACATTGCAATATTTCTACCGCCCGTTAGCAAATATCTGTTCTCGTATCGATCCTCGGCCTATGAAAAAATGTGGTAACGATTATGCTCTCAAAATGTTGCCTGATATTCGGCTCGAGAACCGTAGCCAGGTTAGCGGGTTAAGAGGAAAATATTACGCGAAATGGTAAAACAAAAAAAACGGTGTCAATTATTCATGGCGCAGTCACCGTGCAACTTGTTTTGTGTGGTTTGGAATTATGATTAGGAAAACGCTGTATACGGGTTTTATTTTAGTGTAAATTAATGTAAATGTTTTTTTAATACGTAATGGAACCGTTTGTAATTATTTTTAATTGTTTGTAATTATTATTGGTTAAATTTCCTGGCAGCATAATTCGGATTTTCGAAAAAATAATATAACAAAACCAGGCGCGTTGTTCCATTTTCAGAAACCTCTCAATTCGCGCAGGAGTGTACGGTTATTGTTGCGAAGGCTCTGCGATTTTTTTTAATGCAGAAGCGTTGAATGGGTTTTTTCCGCTCGACGTGGACCCGAGGTCCGCGCGGAGTTGAGCGCGTCGGATTGGGGTCAGGGCGGCGCGGGCGTCGACCCGCAGCCTCTCGGTCCCGCCTCGCCCCGCGACTAGTGATACCATGCCGCGGCATTAACACGGACAGTCCCGATTTTACACATTTAATCCTCGCAAGTCATTTTGATGATTAAATCAAAATTTATATATAAATTACATTTAATTTAAATTTAAACTATTTATGGAAAATGAATATTGTGTAATAATGATTGGAGAAGATTTCTGAATCAAAGAAGAAGCATAGCATCAAAAATATATAATAGGCTCCCAAAAGAAATAAAGGAATTGAACACATATTTATTTAAGAAAAAACTACGAGACATGTAGACAGAAAAATGCAATATTACAGAAACGTTCAAATAAATAATGAATTTCTGTGGCCAAACATAATTTATATTATAAAGTGCAATTTTATCAAACATTTTTAATTTTGTCATTAATTATTTGTTAATTTGTTTCTGTTCTGTTTTTATGTTTACAGGCATATGTTTTAATAGACACTGTTTCGATTTTATTATTATTTTAATATTCTATTATGATTATAATAATTTAGAAAAAGCATGTATACTGACAACCTTTTAGCGAATATATCATCTATAATATTTATATATTTGCACACCCTGCAAAATGGTTAGAATGAAGCGATATAGAATGCAGTACACAGTACAATACAGTACAATGTACAGTACACCTTATGCCTAACCTATATTTCGCAAATAAAATATATTATTATGGTTATTATTTAAAAATACTCAAATAGCATGTTAATCACGGTAAACATCAAAATACTACAAAAAATAAACCCGTTATTTAAGGTAAGATTTGAGATAGATATTAATAAACTGATTCTGCGTGCGAATAAAGAAAATGATCAATAAATTCTGTGTATTTTTCCTTTTTTATTTGTGTTTGTAAAACGCGTCTTTAAAATTGGATTATTTTAGGCTCTACCATAGTGTAGGTTTTATGTATTTAATATGATAAACAATAAGTTTAGTAGTTTAAGTATTGAATAAATAAACAGAAAATATGTATCAACAAAATATTTTATGTTGCATTGATCTAAGACAATAGGTCTTGATGACGAAAATCACAGATATTTTTATAAAATTTAATGATAAATAATGACAAATAAAAAAAAACTGGGACTGCCATAAATCCGTTTTGGATTATGGACACCCTATAGCTACCCTAAGACACCATTAAGATGAACACCCCTATCACTTTAACCGTCCTCTAACTTTTCTCGCCACTTTCTTTTCGCAATAGAAATAAAAAAAAGCAAATAATACGTATTAATTATTTGATAACAAACGTACAACTTATAATATGTATTCCTTTATAGTATATATTGAATATGATATTTGAACATTATAGAATACGACTTTTGGAAGAAAAAATCAGAGAAATACTCAGAAAAGTAAAACTAGCGAAATAAGACTAATTTGTATTGTTTATGAAGCATTTTAACGTCATCAGATAAGGCGCGATTAAAATAAACTGCAATGTTTTACGCGAAACAATTATTACGATTTATGGTAATTGATTAATAAAAATCGGAATACGAAATCGTAATGATATTGAACCTTGATGTAACATGTTTCAAAACGATATCGGTGCAATTAACACAATTGTGCACCTTGGTAGCGTTGTGACATTACAGGGACGGATTTAGTGAGTCGGAGTGAGTTGGAACGGTTATTTGTGTGGGGCGAGCGTGACCCAATTGTGGGCGGGTGAACGAACCCAGGGCCTTGATCGCAATTCCAAGCCCCGCCGCCCGCGCACCGCTCCCCTGCGCCCCGCGTCGCAACTGTTCATTGTTTCTATTTTATGAAATTCATTTTGAATTATCCAACATTTTTTTTGTTTGTTGTGGCAATTTACTTATTTATTCGGGAAAACAGCAGCATATTTTCAATCAGCAATCGTAATGATTTTCAATTTTCGAAATTTTTTATTCGACTGTGATTCGCCTATTAAAATATTATAATAGTTTAAAACGCTTTTTGAATTTTGGTTTCGATTTTGAATTTATAATGAAATAACTTTATTATCTTTAATGGGTGATGACATGATTTTCTAGCCAATCGGCCTAGGGGATATATCAAATAATAATTCTTCATTTTAATGACGTAAAGACATTTATTTTTATTTTCTTAATCCATACAATTTTAATTAAATACTATTAAAAAAAATATCCAATCATACATACGTGACATGTACCGGAATAACTATTAATAAGTTTGAATAAAGAACATACATATTCATAGAGCTCATAACACACTCATTGCCGAGTGACGTCTCGAGTGGGAAAGAGACGGCCGAATCCGGCGGGTGCGGCGTTACGAAACGAGCGCCTGTAAAGCGGCGGGCGAGAGCGGGACGCCTATACAGGACAAGGCTCCGCGCGGATTATTATTAGAGTATCGGCGCTAGGTTATTCCGAGGCGACCTAGATATCGCGGGGCCGATGACCGCGGGCCCTCGCGCGCGCGGCCTCCAAAAGCCGAATGGCATTCAGCGATGGGCCCCACTTGCGAAACGGCCCGGCCGCGGACTCACTCTCTTCGCGAATAATGCAACGGGCGCTTTGGTAATGTTGGTTGGGTTACGTCAAGTGCAGCCGCTTCGCCTCCTAACACGCTTCTACGTTCGTCTTGGAGTGCTCTCGCTCTTAATGCGAAAATTGTAAATTAGAGTAGCTCAATAGAGTGCTGGGCACAGGTCTGAAAGCCCCATTGGTTTTAATTCTTGAAAAAAATCAGATACATGTAAACGCATAACAAAACAATTAATGATTCGAGTTCCTAACGAATTGTAGAGCCTTGACGGGAGATAAACCAGTCTGTTCGCCTTGTTTCGAGATCTGTAAGGCCTTAATCGTTGTAATAATAAATTGCATATTTTTAGTATTACCAAAAACCTTCATATATGAGCAGCATGACAAGCTGTTATTTTATGCATGACTGAATTTTTAGATGTACTTATGTGTATTAAGATGAGATAAATAATTATGCAGTGCGACCGTGCGTATGTTAGCGGCGGGCGGGGAGTAGGGGCGGAGAGGGGGGGGGGGGGGGGGGGGGGCAGTGATTAGCGAGCGACGTCGAATATAGCCGGGAAGGCCGAGGGCAACGAACTCCGCTTGACCTAGATCCGCGGGCCAACCCGTCGCCCCGCGCCGCTCGTCTCACCCGCCTCGCAGGAAAGTGAAAAGGGCCATTTGTTTGTGTTTCGATCATACGCGTCGCCGTACAATCCCAACGGGCCACCGGTTACATCGCGGACACGGATGCCGTGCGGTATGACTATATGGAAAACGCGCGACCATGAAAATGACACACACACGCGCACAGGTTCCTGAACGGAACGGGCGATGGGACAGTTCGCGAAGGGCTCAGCTGATGACAAGTTTCAAGCGGCAAGCTCACCTGCCAGGACCCTGCCGAGGAGGACGTCGGCGTCGACGTCGGGCTGCGGGCGCGGGTGGCGCTGGTGCGGGCACTCGGTCACCGTCATGTCGAGGAGGCGCATTGGCCACGCGAGAGGGGCGCGTGCGACCGGCGGCGGCGGCGGCGCGAATGGCGCCCGCCGCTCGCTACACAGGCTACGCCGTACTACGGGCACGTAGCAACGCTACGCGCCGCCCGCCCCTACCGGCACCCTTGCGCCGCGGGATACCGCTCGCTACGCTACCGCTACGGGGTCCCGACGCGTGTGCAATTAGTCAATTGCCGTGACGCGAACTTTTATGCACCGCCCGATAATGAAGCACGTCATCGGTGGCTTTTCAAGTTTACGCAGCTTTTTTTTGCCAAAGTTAAACGAAAGTTTTATTACGGTAACAAATATAAAAGACATTTTAAAATGTCCATAACAATCTAAATATACAAAACTGTTTTTTATAAGAACTTTAATTATTTTAATGGTAGGATCCCTCATAAACCTATGACTATAAGTAAGACACGTGTCAAAACGCCGGAATGGATAGAAAAAATTTAAACGGGTAAAGGTTTTTACATAAATAAGCAAGTAACAAAATACCACAAACGCCAAAAGCCTCACATACCCATCTCACTAAAAAAAGTAAAGTTAAGTATCAGCCTCTATATGTCCCACTGTTGGGCAAAGGCCTCCTCTGTACAGAGGGTATCAGGCCATAGTCCACCACGCGGCCCCCCTGCGGATTGGCGGACTTCACATATCTTCGAATTATTTTTTCTGTTATTATTTCGAAAATATGCAGGTTTCCTGACGATGTTTTCCTTCACCGCTGAGCACGCGATAATTCAGCACTTAAAATTGACAATCTCATGCTCTCACCGAATCTCACCGAGTACTTTTTTTAAAAAAATTATAGAATATAGTTAAAATACAATGATTTTTCCACGTAATAAATTTAAAAAACGTACAATATTTGTACACATCACTGTGATTCGAATTAGTTAGTTTAATTCGACATCTATGCAACTAGGTCATCGTTGTACATACGCGAACAATTTGATTTATAAATAAGGTTTATCTTATTAATAAGACAAAATTTTCAGTTTTTATTACTTTGAAATAATAGACGTCCATCTATTATGCGATCGGTCGCACATATAGACGTATAATTGACTTAAACAATGTTAAATAAACAGGTTAAGTTCAATACTTTTGTTCCTCTGTTTGTTAACTGATTTTTTTGTTGATATAAAAGTTTCGTATGTACAATGAATGAGGAAAAATGAAGATAATATAATACTTTTACATCTAATTGTCAATAATGATAATGGTCTAATTTTGCACACCAGTTTATTTAAAGACAAATAATCCTTGAATCGCAGCAGAGGAGCAGGAGGCATAGGTACCCAGGCCATCCACCATTTGTGAATCACGATCCACACACAAAAAATTTTGTCCTGCGCATGAATCGAACCTATAACGAGACAAACAATGACAGTTGCGAGACGACCACTTAAATCGTTATGCCAACTGATCCTGAATCCAGCTAATTCTCCCTTAAGGACTCTTTAAAACGCTTTCACTGGATTAGTAAATATATGTAGGCCATGCAACAGTCTTCACTGTTGCACGAACGGGCAGGTCCGTCCGGGAAAGTACCACGACCTTACGGAAGACTGGCGTGAAGTGCAAGTTTTATACTTCTGCGTTTCGCTTGTTCAGTGAGGTTGACGGGGCCTAATTTATTAAGTGACAACGCGTCTGCCACCCTACGATTGCAAATGTCAATGGGCGGCGATTATCACTTAAAATCAGGTGATCCGTCAGCTCGTTTGCCACCTTCTCACGAAGAGGCCTGTATTAGGCCATTGTTTATATTTGGTTTATGGAACGTTATAATAGCAGTCAGAAGAATAGCGTTAAATTGATTTCAACAACGTCACGAGACATCGGAAGCGTCCAGCGCAACCCACTGAACTGGAAACCTAAATCTAGAATTGGCGAATCAGTCAGTGAGCGGTGGGCCGTTTTATAGGCCAAGGCGACCGCCTCAAAGAGTTTGGCTGCGCGACGCCGTAAAAGTCCGCCTGATCTTCGGTAATATTTTCACAATGCACGTTTATGACCAAGTTACAGTTGAAACGATGTGCCTAGACGCGCGAAATGCAAACTGCTTTGTTTTATTTTCAGGCTAAACGTTCGTGTTTACATTTGTATTGGCACGTCTATATAAGGTTAACGTTAAAATGTACAAAACATTCTTCAGTTTGTTAGTTGTTAGTGGGAATAGTTTTAATTTACTTTTACTACTTTTATCTTTCACTATGAATACAAAATATTCTTTATAATTTGATTTCAACCGAATCATCGTATCTAAGATGCGTAATATTTTCTCAATGGAAGGGGATGGGTAGTAAGTCCCAAAGATCACTGCGACCCAGAAAGATCTATTGTAGTGTTCCCTTTGAAATCATTGCCGCCTTACTGTAGGATAACATTAAACTGTGTTTTTATTACGTTACATACATTTTTGTACATAAATTTCACGTGGACAAACACCCAGATCCGTAACAAATATCATAACAATTTACATTAACATAACAAAGGTCATAAAAATAGTATTTTTTGTGGGAATCGAACCCCCAACGCCGAGGCCAATGCCTTGGCAACTGCGCCACCGAGCTATCAGGAAGTCATAGGTGCATTATAACACAAAGTAGTTAAGAAGTGAAGAAAGAACTGTTTACTACTAGTACTGTGTGTGTAACTGTGGTAGCGCCACGCGCCACGCAATGGTTTACGCTATTTCACGAATGGGCTGATTCGTCCGACGAAATACCACGACCTTACAGAAGACCAGCGTGAAATAGAAGTATTATACTTCTGCGTTTCGTCTGGTGAGGTAGCCGGGGCCCACTTGATTGAAAGGTGGCAATGCATCTGCAACCATCGGTTGAACCGCCAGCTCTCATTCCACATTCTCACATAAAAAATACTACAAAAAGGCAATTGTAGTCGAACACGTTGGTTTTATACATTTCTCTTTTGTTCGTACGATTTTCTTATTCACATTTTATATCCATATATTTCAGTTCAAACTAAAACAAAATCAGAAAAGAGTATTTTCGCTTCCATTGGTTATTGAATTTGGCACAAAAATTTGCAATTATCGATTTAAAATGTAACACTTGGCACGGAGACGTCGAATTTCCAAGAAATAGGTCAGATAAAGTGGCGTGCGTAGAAAGTGAGTTTCTTTCGGGTCTTAAAGACAACAACTCGCAAAATTGATGAGTTCAATATGACTTTATTTGTACTTTACAAGGCAAGTTAAACTTAAACATTACTCTTCAATTGTTAATAGGTATGCTAAGAATAAAATAAGTAAGAACCGATGACGAGTTTTTATTACAATTAAGTAATAGAAAGTCGTTATGCAACCGGTTTTCATACATAGAAAGTGTTATAATTAAACCGTTCACTATTTCGAGTTAAAGATTTATTACAAGACATTAACATACCACGAACAAGATAAGTGTCATTACTTTATCCAACGCTCATATCTCGTGTATAGAAACGTTTGTTCTGTATACATGAACAATACGGGTCTGTGCAAGTGAGGTCATAGTTCGGGTTAAGCCGGAGCCAGGCAGCATCAGGTCGCGCTGACGTCATCGCGGAGCGTTCACCCCTTAGCCCCTCCGCAACCCTTGTTCCATATTCATGCCCCGATGATTTTAAACTATGTATCGATAGTCTCCATCCTTTACAACACACGAACCATTAGTTTCAGCCTTTTCAGCGTTTTTTAGACGCGAACGATTTTTTTATTTCTATTATTTTGTATTGTGAAATACCTTTAGTGTTTAGGATATTTTACATCAAAAAAATAGATGGTTATAAATCAAACTCTGGGAGTAGGTACCAGTGGCATTAAGTATATTATACAGTATAGATATAGTACATTGTTTGTAGTTTTTACACTATCCCTACTGTATGATAAGCTGTATTGTAGAAGTGTTTTAGAAACACGAAATAAATGTGGACCAAGAACCAGATCCGGGACAGTTATGTAAATATTTGTTCCGTTGGGAATCGAACCCACGAACCGTGGCGTGGAAGTCAAAGTCAAAGTGTTAACAAGTCGCCAAACAAACTATATGTGTTTGCAACAATCGCAGATGATTAGGTTGGCGAGTGAGTCGCGCACTCCTCACTCTATGCTAGATCGCTAGGAATAAGCCAAGATAAATATGCATGCGATTACATGTAAGCTACATGCTAAAATTTATCGAAAGTGCCACTTAGAATGGACGAAATGTGTAAACGATTTAATCGGTTGCGCCGCTACATATGTCGTGTTTTACAAATGAGTACGGGCGCGGTGCTCAGTTCAATAATCTGTTACGTGCGCTATCCGGGCATTGTTTACGCGACGCGTAACACCGAGCGCTTTCGGACCCCGCCGAATGACAAATTAACTCGGGGCCCGGGTTCCTCGACCCCGGTGGAAAGTGGACCACGATGGCGCACCACTTTCGTTTTCGCCCAACTCTCACCGGCGCGGCGCGGGGCGAGATCGAAAGTGGTCTACTTGCGGCGGTGCGTGCGCGCAGCACCGGCCGCCCCGCCGCCGGCACTTTCTGCGCGGTTAGACGCTTTCTTCTGATGGCAACGCCGCTTGTGCAACTCGCTTTCTAATTGCATTGTAATCGCCGAACGATGCCTGTCGAACGGCCGCCCGCCACACTTTCGACAGACCGCTCTGTTCCTACTGATCTAATGAGGTCGGTGACCAGCCCGAGTGTGTGGTGTGCGATGTAGCCATCTAATACAAGGTTCGAATTAGTACTCGAGTTTCTGTCACTTGTAAAGGCAATGAATACGTCGGTAATGGTCATAAAAATCGATAAGCAAATATTGCATCTCAGAAGCTTCTAATCGCTATCAGTATTTTTACTCTTGTAGGTATTTCGTTCTACACTCGTTGTTTTCATTGAAAGATACATTAACTTTATATCACCGCAATACGCTTTCGACTACTTAATATTTTATAAATATCCATCATGCCACCCGCCATGTGAAACAGTGATGATCAAACAGTTTTTTCAAATCTAATACCTTTAAACGAGCAATTCTTTTATATATATATATATATATATATATATAGAGCAGCAGCTCTGCCCGGTGAAGTACCACGACCGTTATACTTCTGTGTTACCTCTTAATTGATGGATGACTCTGTGGCGCATTTGCCAAGTTATTGGCTTCAGCGTTGGGGGTCGTGGGTTCGATTCCCACACGGGACAACTATTTGTGCGACCCACAGATAGTTGTTTCGCATCTGGGTGTGTGTCCTCGTGTAATTTATGTTTGTAAAAAACGTACAACACAAGATAATGTTGCCCTAAAGTGAGGGCAATGTTTTTTTAAAAAATAAAAAGGTGACAACGCATCTGCAAGCCTACGGGTGTTGCAACTGTCACTTGCCACCTTCTGATAGAAAAAAATAATAAGGTAGATTATGGTGTGATTACGTGCCAGATGGTCTTCATCGGTTTTCACCGACCACCAAAGGGCCTTCGGAATATACAAAAATTGATGATAGTACGACGGTAAGTTCATAGGAAAACGTCACCGAGATTCGACCAAATGTTCGCAAGTACTTCCCAGCGGCCAGACCACCGCCAACTTCACCACCACATACTCAACTTAATCTAGGACAAATCTATCGGGTGATTACGTTCGCAGGTCACTAAGTAATGATCAGTAGACCGCTTTAAGTAACGTTCATTATACAGACACGAGTGTCTTTGTGTCTTATTTATCGCTCTGGTCATTAGCAACTTTAATACCATACGCACAAAAAGTTACATTCGGGTCAATAACACAGCGCAAGCGCTGCAGTTATAAAGTAATTATGGTTGTGGGATATAAACCTCAGTTTTTAATTTAAAAAAATATGGCAGGTAAGTGACACTTGAATAATCGCGAGCATCGCCGAAATTGATTTAGTACAATAAGTTCAACGGAAGCTTTGTCGCCATTGTTCCATATACATATGCATATACATATATTCGTGGAAACGCTTGAAAATGATTTTATGTTTTCCTTTTCTGTGGTCCATATGTAAATTTTATGTAAACATGCGTAGGTGTATGTACTAAATGGTTCATAAGTATGTATTTTTTAAACTAATTTCATTATTCCATTTAAATATACCTTGTGTGATATAGATAGAAGAACTCGTGTACCTTCAACTAATTTCTGCAGTACCAGTGAAATAGCTATAAGCAAGGTTTATTTGTCAAACACTTCTAAAACCTACGATATCATTTAAAGATCTATCTATTCGATAAAGTTTTGCAGAACCCAAAAGGTTAAAAAAAATACTGTGCCAATGGAGTAAAAGCAATAGCGATAATGGGGTACAACTACGCAGGCGTTTCTAGTGTTTCATGAAGGGGCTGGCTCATCCGGGGGAATACCGTGGCCTCACAGAAGACGGCATAGAGAAGAACAATTTAATTTTTCGCATTTTATCTGATGGGTAAGATAACCAGAGCTTTTACTCCTTGACGTTGAGAACGCAACTGCAAACTCTCGCGTGTTGCGTATGTCTAGGCAGTTGAAATCTCATAGCCAGCTGTTTGTTATAAAAAAATTCCCATAAAAGAACGTTCTATCAGATTATCAAATTAGGAGTATTGAAGATAGTGTTGTAAAAATCGGAAATACTTCATAAATTGTAGAATTGTGGTTGAATAAAGCTATTGTTAAAAGTGTTACATAAGAATTGTAAATTAATGTTGAGAACGTTTTCTACGTACAATATGCCAACGGTGAATATTTTATATGTACGTAAATATAACTGTGCGAACTTTTAAACCGGTCAAATGGAAGTGGGTCAAAATTAGTTAACTGGGCCCCTCGGCGCCATATTTAGATTTCGCATTGAATTTAAAACGAAAAGTCCATTTTTTGATACTTAAAAAAAAACATTTTATTTTTGTTTCGTATAAACAAACGATAGTCGTGAAAATACGCTGACTGAAACTTACATTTGAAGGAATTCATGTATTGAAGTGTTATGTTTGATGAGTACAGAAAAGCAAGTTTAAATCTAGTTCTTACTGGCAGTGATTAATTTGACCCGACTCTTGACTTCGACCCTAGTGATTCTTACAAAGAGTATGACAACGTGGATCGCTGTTCATTCATTGACGTGTACATTACGTTACGGACACGATTAATTGTTTCCCAATCTGGGCCCGTTGGAGTCATTCGATGCAAATTGACGGATTTTCAGGCGACGCCGCGTAAATATCACTGAATTCCCGGCGTCCGCTAACGGTTCCCCGCTCGCTTTGTTCACCATTCAGGGTCGGCACGGCCGTTTCGAGTCCGTAATAAAGTTTTGTTAGTTTTTCGCCGGCTCCGATTTCTGCTATTTACGGCCGGTGTTCGCGCATTACGCTTTGCTTTGGCTGATAGAGTTATTCGAATAAAATAGTGTAATTGTTGATATCTATCGCGGCTGATTTATGTCGCGAGCTACGTGTTAAACGCCGCTGATGATTGGTTTATGTGTTCAGTAATAATTGTTTGTTGGATAAAGTAATTAGTTACGAGTAATCTAAATACACTACAGATAGTTTAGTTTAGTTTTTTAGTTTAGAATTGCCAAATCCATTTATCTTTGTAGATTTCTACTGTAATTAGTCATTTTATTTAATTTGATTAACGTGCGGTTCTCAAACTATGGTCTTGTGCGTGAAGGGACGTGAAATTTAAATGTGTCTAATACTTTTAAGGGCCACTTAGCTGTATTGAGGACGACGTGGCGCGAACGCCCCACTTCGGGCAACCCTTCTTTCAAACGATCGTAGCAGATAAAGCTAACCGTGTCGCTAGTCGGGATCTAGGTTTCGAGCGCGTAATTTTGTAGGTATGCACAAATGTAAGTGGGCGCAAATGTGTGTCAAAATTTAACGAGGACGTCGCGTCGGTCCGCCTAACGCGGCAATTTGTTTTTCGCCTATCACACGTCAAGTTCCCGTGCGCACTGAAACGTTCACACTTTTATCGGACTTCAAATGAATACGAACAAACAAACAATCGCACGTTTCTAGAGAAATCCATATTTTGCATAGCAACACGTTCATGTCGCCGAAATTCTGTATTTGATTCGCGTAAAAGTGATTATAGACGATCACAGATCAACAATAATAATCTGAGATTAAAATAAACCAATAGACCTTGTAGATATTATTAATTAATTCAGAACGGGAGTAGGGGAGAAGTTTTGTTCGAACGCGAAATCGACTAGTTCGTGCACTTTTAGGCTGGAATGCAGGCTATTTTAATAGTAAGCGATCGCTTATTTATTAAATGTATTCGGGTTAACACAAGCACGCGCGCAAAAGTTTCCCGCCGACGATAAGCAAGCGCGGCCAGCGCGGCCCGGAGCGCAGCCTTGAGATCGCTCGACGAAATTGGCAATATCCTGGAGCAGAGAGGCCCGATTGGCGAAACCTTGCGAAGTGCAAAAGTCGGTCGACGAACTCCCCAAGGCCGGTGCGCCGCCGCTTTCTTTGTGCGCCTGTCGCAACACGGCTCCGAGTTTAACCTCGAAGCGCTTTATTAAGCGTTCACCCATCTAAGTCACAGCTGCTTGAAAATACCATAATCTGCGGCCTTATCGAGCGACGTTGTTTATGCCACCGCTCGGCTCACCGCGTAGAACCACCAACTGACGCGACGGTTGCCATTTCAGGTTTTTTAATTGTTAAAACAATTAAATTTTTTGTGAGAAAGGGAAATAAATTTTGCACAGAACTTCTTGATATTATTTTCTAATAGAGTGAGTTCTAGTATAGATAGTATTAAAATGGATGGTATGCCGATATAAGGCACTTTTCATTATTGTTTAAAACTATTTTTGATTGTCATCGTTTCACATCTGGCGTTGTAATTTTTTTTTGTCTTTGTGCCAAGTTCCTCTTTACCATGATTCAACATATATGCAAAAAAATAGAAAATAGATTGCAATGCCGTGTCACACGAAGGCAATAATTGTTCCCTCTCAGGTCCAATCAGGCGGAGTGGTATTTAAGCATTGGCTAGTTCATGAATAGAAATATCGTCCACTCGTGACCAATCAACCTAATTCATCGACTATGTTTTATACTAGACAAGGGCTTTCAAATTTGCGTGACAACTTTTCATAAAAATAAGTCACTCCGATCAGGATCACATCGTTTTAATAATTTATCAATTAGTTTACTTTCATAGACTGCATGAAGCAAAAATGGTTTTCAGTTGCATAATAAAATCAATTTATTGAAATCAAATAATCTAATTGCCGATAATCTGATATCTTATGTTTCTATTATTTAAAATTGTCCAGTGGCATTTTCCGAAACGATGGTAAATGACTCGACGGCTTGACTTTAATGCCTTGGGAGAGAGGCAAAGCCCTCGTTTGTGATGCTACTTGTGTACATACTTTTGTTGCCTCTCTTCTAAAGCGTACTTCGGTCAGGGCCGGGGTGGCATCAGAGGCATATGTATTAAATAAATGGAAAGTATCTGTTTCTTACATATTTGTGTGATTTATTGTTGACAATTTGGGTCCGTGGGGTTTCCGCAAGTCAAGAAATTTGAAAGATTCTTGTTCGATACTTAATCTTATAGCGGGGGCTGGTGAAAAGGAGGTTGATCTTGCTTGAGGCTTGATCAAAGGTTAAGCCTAACTAATCTGCGAGGAAATGCATGAAGCTAGCATTTCTTGCCACCAGGCCCCGAGGAATACGAGAGTTAAATAATGTGTAATTTTGTCAGTTTTAATATTGTTACATCAATAATCGTCATCATCTGAGGCATCTGAGCCCGATCTATTCATGGCTTTGTTTCTCCAGTCTATAACCCCCAAGATCTTGGTGTCCTGTCCGACGCCTGAGCTTGGGCCTGCCTCTACTGCTGCGGCCCTCCCGGCCGGCCCTCCAGAAGGCATTGGGGCATGCCCTCCAGAAGGCATTACATCAATAATAGTTATATGTAAATATAGTACCATCCTTGCTACCGTGTGGGAATCGAGTCAACGATAACGATAACAACTAATACTAAAGGCTAGCGATTGAACCAGCCCGGCATTTTATGCAATCTGTTAATGGGAACGCTTCTTACATAGCAGGGCCACGCAGGGGCTTCTACTGTTGATCGGAAATACCACGGGAAGAACTACGGCCTCACATAAAATGAGAAGAGAGAGAAAAGGAAGACTGCCTATTGTACTTCCTTTTACATTCATTTGTTATTTTTACTTTTTCATGTTTTTGGTATATGTCTGTCTGTCTGTCTGTCCCTATGTATACTTACATCTTTAAAACTACGCAACGGATCTTGATGCGGTTTTTACTAGATAGGGTGATTCAAGAGGAAGGTTTATAATTATGTATAATACATTGCACCCGTGCGAAGCCGGGCGGGTCGCTAGTAAAATGTAAATAAATAAAAATAATAAATAAAATCGGCTTGAAATGGAAGAATTATATATTCGCGTTTTGTCCGGTGGGTGAGGTAGCCGGGACGCACTTTTTTAATTATGTCAACGTATCTAAAGCCTCTCAGGTGTTCCAATCCATTGGGGTGGATCGGGTGAACCGATCGACCAACTTTTCACATTAAAAAAGTAAAAAGCTCAACATGATTCCGCTCGTTTACAAAGAACAACATCCGAGTTCTGTTGCGCTGTCAATCATGATATTCTTGGAAATATCCGAGCCTGCCCGCGTTACGTAAACACGGACAATTATGTGGGCTAGTACCTACGTCAAATTTACGTAAGGGGTCTATTCAAACTCTAGTTGCCGTCTGCCGATTGCGTAAGCCGCCACTTACGACTGACGTTTCACCTCTTCTTCTGAATCGACGCCTTATATTATGGAACGTAAAGATAGTACCTACCAAAACCAGAGATGTATATCATAGGTACAACTGTATGGAGTAGTGTCCAGTAATTCTGCGTTAACCAAAATAGGAAAAGCTTCAAGTTAACATGTTTACGTTTTAAGTCGATAGTTTTAATAAATATTTTATTTTTTATGTTACACAAAAATAAAGATCGTTGGTGATAGTTTTCTATGTGATTCGGACATTTAGAGAGGTGTGAAAGTGTAAGAAATCACATCATTTGACTTCGAAATTCTAAATATATGAAATAAGCTTAATTACGATATAAACTTCTTTGATATTGAAAAGGCTTCTGTGAAATTTAAGAATAGCTTGAAAGCTAAAATACTTCCGTTCGGCATGACAGTGCAACTTTCGAATTGAATTGACGGCAGCTCAACGTCGATTTTCGCGTATTACAATTCCGCACGTGCGTGCGTGATTGACAGCTGAGGGCGTACACTCAAATTCGCAGCTGTGGCGTCGTTTCGCAGTTAGCGTAATAGGCCCCATGGTCGTGTTGCAAAAAAAAAGCGGGGCGCGTGCGCAGGTAGCTTGCCGAGGCGCTTTACCGCCATGGCTGGGTGGGGGGCGGCGCGGGGAGGGGGGCTTATACACTTTCACCTGGCGAGGCTGCGCGGGCGTCGACCCCCGATCGCCCTACTCCGCTGACCCACTACGGGCCGAGCGAAACACTTTCATTTCTTACGGCTCCCTCATTAGGCTCGAGGATGCCTTCGATGGCTCGTTGCAGCGCGAGAGCTGGCTGCTCCCGGTGACGCGGAGATAGTCGAGAACCGGTGGAGAGTTGCCCGGCGGGGCTTGCGTAACGCCAAGAGGGAAAGTACTGCACCGCTGTCTCCATACTAATGAGCGTCACACTATCCGCCGTTTGGAATTCGCACCACTGGGTTAAGACGCCTGCGAGCGCTCTCGCGCCGTTGCGCAACCTTTCACTTTTGCTTTTGTTGGCGGAAGTGTTTATTATGCTCACGTCTGTTTTGTGATATACACAAGTCTGACTTCGGACTACGGGTTACGCATGAATGAAACATGCGTCTTGTAATTAAAGCGTGCAGGTCAATTTGGTTGACAGTTCCACGTTTCATTTATGAGCCAGTTGATGAATAATAAAACTGACTTAAGAAGCAATTTTTTTTCAATTAAGATTTTAATCGCAACGATTAGCAATATACAGCATGTTAACATAATCTTACTAATTTGTAATAGTTGTAATATAGTAGAATGGCAATGCGAAACTTTTCGATCAAAGCATGGCAGTGAGATTATAAGGAATTAAAATATGTGGTTTCGGTCTCACATTATACAATATTTGCGACGGTACTGTCGCAAATATTGTACTCGATGTACTCGATTTAAATTGATTCACCATTATTGGACTCGTGTTGTACTCGATTTAAATTGATTCACCATTAAAAATATTTACAAATAATGCATATTACACTTTAAATTCTCCAATTTACATGTGTGCCTTGACTGTGATTTCAAGAGAGTTATAAACTTTAGTGTTATATTTATTGCATTTAATTCGGAAATTGTTTTAAGACTGCGGCAAAAGCAAATTAAAACGTTTCGTTATATTATTAAATTGGCATTGGCCGTGAGGCCTTCAGTCTAAAAGACCAAATTATTCCGTAAACAGGTTATATTTAATGAATGTAAAAGTAATAATAAAGACTAATAAAACCAATATTTCATAGATTTCATAATACGTATAATACATAATACTTCAATAAATACTTTGAACTTAAAAATAAACAGACCATAGACTATAAATACATGTCTGGTAATTCCATGGCGTTGGAGACAGATTAAAAATGCGCGCCAAAGCGAGCGGTTCTCGTGACGGTTCGGGCGCGTTGAAACGCATTCGGGCCGCGGCTCGGCTGCACGGCCTCGAACACCGCGGGGCAACGAACGCTGACTAGGCCGAATGTATTACAAAGTCCGACTTGGCCGCGGCCGCTCCCTACCACTCTGCTTTTGAGATCCAGCCTAGCCTCTTACTGCACGCCAATACCTACAGGGTGTCTTTAACTTATTGCATCAAGGTGAATGAGCCTACAACTTATTTATGAGCTGCGATACGTTCCAACGCGCGAAATGTTCAATGCACGTTGTCACTAGCGTTTGTGAGAACTGTTCGTGTCTCAAGGCTCATTCCAACATTAGTACACTGCTAATACTCTAACAAGTATAATATATAAAATCATAAACTGCATACCTCTGTAGTACAGATTCCAACATTTCTCTACAGAGGCATGTGAATTCACGTATACCGAAGCGACACTGTTTCATTTTCGAAGTAGTGTTTATTGCTAGCGCCCATCTCAATAATGGTTTTCTCCGTCATACTCTGGAAATCCTGTGACAGAGGAATCGGGGTCAGCGGAGACGGGCGGCATCATTTAGCATGTTAGAGACGCGGCGACCTATTTACTTGTGCAACGCAACAGTTTATTAGCCGCTGAAAAAAGGTATGAAGTTGTCTTCGCCTACAAACTATGTAAACGAATTCATGTAGCTTTCACCGTTCACGGAGAGTGATGTAACTTTTAGTTTCGTTCATGTCCCTTTTAAGCTAAACCGAAAAATCGAAATCGAAACGACCGATGTTGAATGAGGTTTCCGATGGAATATATCAATGGAAAATTTTTACTCTAGACAATGCATAGATCGAGCATCTGTCATTTCGAATGCCCCGTCACAATGTAATTAGTGCGGTGCGGCAGAGGCAACGTAATCCATTGCCGCTCCGTGTCAGATAAGTCGGCGCGGTGGAGCGGTGCAAATGATCGCGCGTTCCGTCCAATTCGCCGGCATTAGAACGCGAATTTGCGCGCGGCTCACGTTCGCGAGATAAGTCAGTCAGGGTCGGTGCGGTGCCGACGGCCGGCCGTGCACCCGGGCTTGCGACACCGTCGCCCCCCCCCCCCCCCCCCCCCCCGCCCTCCGGTGCACCGCCCGCCCCGCAGCCGCCGCACATTGCCCATAGGGAAAACAACAACACCCACGCACCAAATGACGTGTCCCAACCGCGGGCCTTCTGTAAGCTCGTAACCGAAAAAAATCGAGAACACACCAGAACGGTGTCGTAACGCCTCTTCCGCGACTTCTGCTAACGGCCGATACGCGAACGCGCGAACGCCGCGTAGATGACCCAATTACTTTTTCGGTAATCGGGTCGCTACCTTGCCGTTATCTTGTCGGATCGCGCGTATGGCATTTGGCGATGTGTTATTGAAATTCATCGTAAACGATAAGACTGTACTCAACTAAGAGTGCAGACGTTAATATCATCAAAAGTAATACGATAAAAAATCGTCATCCAACGTTCAAAAGTTTCGTCTTCATCTTATTCGATTCTACTTTTCAGTCTATTAGCAGACATGTTGCTTCTCGTTAATAGCGTTTGTATAGTGGATTTTTTAAAAGATTTGCCTTTGCCCTAAAACAATTTCACGCCTATAAATAGAGTTTCGGCTTTGAGAAGATATTTGTATGTATATCGCGATGGTGGCTACAGGGTGGCCGTGTCGGGGAGCGACCCAGATTGAGTTCGTCGACCGCGTTATATTTAGTCAGGGCTCCCGGATCGCTCGTTGCATCCCGCGGCCGTTTTTCAATGCATCCGTTAGCTCAACGCGTGCAAAGTACAATTAGGAGTCGCGTCCTCGATTTTCAAACCTCCCACTGCGGGTGAGACATGGAGCAGCTTAGGCTGTTGTTTGTTACTCACGGCATCATAGAGACTGGTAAAGTGTGAACATTAACGCGTTACCCGTGGTGAGTAGGACCGGGACCAAGCCTCGTCAAGCTTGGCAACGAAAGTCGATTCCATAGGACTAACATCGAGTGAAACGCACACTCGCTTGCCACCCCTGTCATATAACTCTCTCAATATTTCCTTCTCGAAACCACTGCGTTCAAAGATGGAAAGTGATTACCGACAGCTGGATACCGGGGCGTGCATAATTTTATTGCCATATTATTTCGCTATTTATTAATACGCCTTAATAAATTAGTAGTTACCATACCGTAACTTGGAATTTAAGAACTGCTGAAGATGTTTACCTGCAACAAAAGGATAAAAATTAAATTAAATTATTTTCCTTTCCTTTAGACGGAAAAGCTAACATTAGCTTCGATTTTATTTTATTCTCAACTGATCTCATAGCTATTAAAATAAGACTTAAACTATTTCTAAAATGAACTTATTCTAGTAAGAACGATAACGTACATACAACTTTTAAAATTTTCCATATTATATCAATAACAAAGAATCTTCGTCTAAAAAAAAATTACACAAAGAAAACATCTTTTCCAGATCTGTAGAAATATGCTGTTTACTAAATACAACAATTACTATTAATGTGATCAACAAGTACTATTAAAGTGGGCTTTATACTGAAGGAAAGCGAAGGTAGCTATGCGAATGGCAAATTGAATAAGTTGGAATGTCGTAACTTCACGTGCGGTTTACCCGGATGCCATGATGACCAAGATGCCGCCAAAATGTACGCCTAGAATAAGCTGTAACCTATTATTAACATAAAGTGAAACACTTCAGCCTAGCTCACTGCTGTCGGAGTCAGCGTATTTGCCTAATTGATCAAATACATGTAGTTCAATGGACGTTTCTTTGGGAATGTTGTTCTTATTGCAATAGCGTTTAAGTCGAAAATGTAATGCAGGTATCGGGCGCTCGAGACGTTACGTTGTCATCGTCCTAATTTTGCAGTGTCCTCGTTTTTGAGGTCAGCCTCTATCGGGGCAACGAACTCGTGCCCTTATCGCGGAGAGAGGCGGGAGGAGGGGAGGTGCAACTAAGCGGCTCTGGGTACCCGTCCTAGTTTCAACTACTCTGCGGTAGATGGCGCTCCAATTTTTGTTAAGTTCTCACCGAAGGCAAATCCATTGCCTTGTATCAGTTTCGTCCGTAATTAATTAACCAACGACAAGCATAGTAATCGAGATATATTTTTTTTTCAATTTCGTAACTCTCTACAATCATTTGCTTACGTCAAATGTGACAATAGTAGTAATAAAAAATCATTTATATTCGCATATATGAACATGTGTCTTTTTTGCAAGTGAAATATCGCGAGGCCCGCGAGCTGGTGCATGGGACGCGGCGCGTAGTAAATTCGTAGAGAGCGCCTACGCACACACGCGCGCTACGTAGGTACGTAGCCGTAGGTACGGGCGCGGGTCGAAGAACGGCAACCGGGGCAGCCTTGCTCTGTCCTCTGCGCCCTATTTCTGCCGCCACAGAGCGACGTCCCCTCCCCCTGCCGCGCACCGTAGCCCCCCACCATGACCCACCACTTTGGAACTCACAAACTCTAGAAACTGCTTTTAGAAATAAAAGCGAAGCTAACGACTCCGTTCCAATTATTAAAAAAAAAACATAATTTGTCCCCACACACCCGTATTTTAAAAACGCTTCATTGCTTAAAGTAAACAGTCGCACACAAAAACATTCGAATCGATAAAGGAACGCTGGTTGTTTTTTTTTTCAAGCCAAGGCGTTTACAACTATTTGCTCAAAGGCCCTTCGAGACGTCCAGTTGGCTTCGTACTTACAATCGCGTCAATATTTTAATTCTTCGAACCATTTTGCTACAAATTCACTGTTTACTGCTACATCGCTTACATATCTACTGTAGATGCGACCTCAACAGACATTGTGCAGGTCATTATTAGCTGCAAATCGTGTCGAGCGAAGGCCAGTGAGAAAAGGCAAAAGGAATCAAGGCAAAAGCGGCTGCCTCAACGGATGCTGCGCCACACAGCTATTTCAAATCACTCTGATTTCATTTTCTTATATTAGTAAAAGGCCCGCAATTAGCCGCCAAGGTTCCGACTTGTATATGTTTGTTGGGCCATGGCTACCGTGTTATCAGTGATGGATAGAGATTAATCTCGCGCGTTGTTTTCCTATATCTATGAAAATTACCACACATATCGTAGCAGCACTATAAACAATGTATTCTAAAACACAACAACTCGGTCCGGTGGAACAATTTCTCAATTGAATACTGGAAAGGTGCTATGAAATAGGCAAATGTATGGCCGGATTCTCGTACGAGTACGTATTTATTTCTACGTTGTAATTGACGTCTGATTGCGTCCGCTAGAATAAATAATTTGTGAAGCGAAACGTCATACTATAAGTCAATTGTGTACATTGTAAATACTGTATAACTTATAAAAAATCGAGATTAAAATGTAATCCCAGCCCAGCGTGAGCTACGCAATTGCCGGAGATTACTGCGTACAAAGATAGAGGTGAAGCGATTACAAAAGAAATGGAATAACAGGTTCGATTCTAATGGCATGAGCACACAATGCGCCGTGTCGGCACACACGGGCGTCGCTCGGCGTGACGTGGTGATGTTGTGTGACGCGGGTTGCGTCAACTTTTACTCGCACTTTCTCGCGGTGCTCTTGCGCAACGGAGCGCGGGCGCACTGGTTCTCGTGCGGTACCCGACGGCTTTTCCTACGCGCTCGGCCCCGTCGAGGAACCCGTCGCAAACACGTGAGCTATCGGACGCGCGACATAATTGAAACGATCGCAAGGGACTCATCAATCGGGCATTCAATTCATACTTTCTTCTCATAAAAATATCACGGTTTGTATCGCGTTCAACTTTATTCTCAATGATAACGACACAGACTCAGTATTCGCGCGAATATAGCAGCCACACCACCTTTCAAATCACTACACACAACGTAGCAATAAAATAGTTTCGGGACTCAACATATGTACGAAAACAACATGAATCTATACGCTGGTCGATAGCCATCGGATTAAAGCGATAAACAAAGAGCGCTTCCACCGTATAGAATTGAAGCGAGTGGCTTTAATTCTGGAATGATCGAACGGCGGGATTGTTTTCGATTCGAATTTTAAAATGGCTCTGTGATATTTTTACAGTGAGTAATAGTAACATTTCTATGAATCGCTAGTGGTAGGTAACGGGACGTCGAGGGGGCAGCGAGTGCAGGTGGCGGGGAGAGCACGAGGTACGTGCCCTAGTTTCGCGCGGGTGCATGAACTCTAACGAGGTAAGGCCACCGACCGCGGCGGTCGCCATGTGAAAATGCACCTTATCCTCCTTTAATCTAAGTCGCCTTTCGCACGCTTAGAAAATGACCAGTATATCGTCATAAGCTGTGTATTTATATGAAACCGAGGAGTTGGATGTATGACGACTATATCCAGCTGCGGCGCGACCTTCGCAATTATCGCCCTCGTGAGATCCGACCATACTGTCGCTATAATGCTATAACGAGTCTGCATCATAAGTTAAACACATCTTACATATTGTTGAAAATGTTAACTCTAAACGTGTATTTAAACAAGTGGCATATAAATTGCTTAGGTCGTTCCTTGAACACATCTTTGAATCATGTTCAATTGGAAATTATTGTTAATATGTATAATTGAGACCAGGCCAATATTAGAGTAAATATTCCGAATTTTTACTTGCGTATTATAGTTGTACGAATGTATTCGATAGCCTTAAATATAGTTTTAAGACAGTCTTTTTATGCGCCCATTATACACGCATAAGCAAAAGTCCGTCGAACTCTTTGCGCGTCTATTTCGACACAATGACAGTAAGCTTTCGTCTCTCTCGTCCGGTTATAAACGTCTAGAACGTGCTGAGGCGACGGTGCGTGAATAATTCCATTGTATCTGTATATAGGTCACATCGTAGTCGGATGCGTAAACAAAGTAACGCGCTTGCGTTGGCACTTTGGAATCTTACGGAGAATCTCGTGTTGGAGTCGTCGATGTTCTCTCCAGGGCCTCGGATAAAATTAAGACTAAATATAAATTGAATTTGACTGCAACTAAACTTAAACAACAAAATTACCTTGCTTCTGAAAACACGTTATTCTAAAACCTACTCTAAATGTATATAGAGTACTAAACGATTATCTTACCGGTTGATGAAGAGTTTTGAAATATTTAAAGAGGAACAAACAGATCATATCCAAACTGTTTCATAATTAAGGAAAATAATAAGCATATTATTATGTACAAGTGTTATTAAAAAATAAATTTTATTCGTATGTATTCCAGCCAAACGAGAACTTTACCCACTGAATAATCAGGATTGGAACAATGAGGTGATTTTGTTAAGAGTTTATCCGACTGTGGTCAAAAAAACAAAATTCACTAATATCTCAAGAGTCGTGGAATGTGATAGTTCTTAGAACTCATTTAAATTCTCACTTAAACAATATTTGTTCAGTTATATAATAACATTAAGCAGTTGGTTGAATGCATGTGTGTCATACGCAGAGATGTAAACAACCTACAATCAGCACAATAAACTTCATCAAGAACGGCCGATCCTCAATTATTGTAAAGTTATCATAATACAGGCGGAGCGATACAAGTGTTAATCTCGAATTTACATAAAACAACGTATGCTTTTGCGGCCATCACTTTTCGAGGTGCGAGATGCCTGTTTTCGATTAATTGGGAAATGTCAAGTTTAGTTTCGACGCCCCGTTAGTTTTCATAACACGTTTCTAAAATTAAGCCGATTACGAAATGTCGAAACTCCCAAAATGTATGGAAATTATTAAGACACTTTATCACAAATAATAAATTTACTTTGCGTATTGTATTTTATGCTTTCCATTATATTTCAAAAAGACTGCTGTTCGCAATAGTGCTTGTCTGACCATTTTTTACGGGCGAAAATAAATGATATGGTGAAATCGATAGAAATAAAAGAGTCTCAAAGACTTAAATCGTAAACCATCATTCCATAAAGACCGCGGTGATGTTTGCACGGATCTGTTTAATAAGATCATTAGCAGCGTTCCGCGAGGTGAAATATGCGCCGAGTGTTGTAGGAGCGTGTCAACGGAGGTTAGCGAGGCCCCGTCCCGCGCCCCCCTCCCCCTCGCCGGAGCAACAAACTCTGCAAGGTTGCGCGTCGACTCCGCTATCGTTAACTACAGTTACGATATCGCCCGCCCTTCTCCGGCAAACTGTTTTATTTTATTACATTGCTATCACATCGATATTATGCTCGAAGGTCTCACGGATTACTGTGAATGTTTGACTTGGTGCGAAACAATAAGAATGCCACTGTTTCTATTACTGCAACGTTCGATTGTTGTTTCCCTTTGTTCCTAACAACGTCATTGGCAATATTTAATGCGACTTACATTGCAATGAAAAAAATTCAATAAACGAATGATATGAATGTTTTAACAGCAGTAACAATTTAAAGGATGTCAATGAAAACATTTACCTAACTTTTAATACTATGTTTACGAATAATATTTTTTTTAAGTCGATACGGTAGAATTTTGTTATTTTTATTTATTAATAACAAATTTCTATGTTTCATATTTCTAATATTTTATGTCTATGTTTTTTTTAAGTGGGAGCTAAATTTCGAAATGGTAGTTCCGAAAATTTTTCAACATTTTATCGATTGAACGCACATTTTTAAAAATCCAAATATTCAAAGGATTTACAAAATCTTATAACATAATTTATTGCTTTGTAAGTATTATCAAGTCATATAATGTTAATATATTAAATTGTAATTTAACGATTTCTTTTTCTTCAAGCGCCATCTGTTGTTGAATAGCTGCACAATAAACTTTCGATTTTATCTTTCTAATAGTTGTTTATTTCAAATAGATCTCAAATAAACTATAAGAGATAAATCTGATTTTTTTTATAAATAATTAAGCTAATATGTATTAACAGGAAAAATCGGTACAGTTAAAAATTTACACACAGCAACATAAATACTGACTGACGTAAGCGTGGGTAAGTATGCAATAAACAAACTGAGTCAAGAACGTATTTTTTTTTCTGTAAAGGGAGCGATGACCGCGGGTGGCGTGCATTGCGTGCGTCAGTCACCTCGCTGCAACTATAAGGCGGAGCTCAGAAATCGTCAATTTACCTGTGTAATGGTTGAATAGCGTAAAGAAACATAATTATGTTTATTGTCATGCCCTAGTTTGTATAACATCTCTTTTAATAATCAGTAATCATAGGTGTTTCATTAATTAACTTCTTTAGGTACTTAATCATAGAATACGAAATATAATGAATATTTGGTAACTTTTTCTGAGTAAGATTATTTGCATTTATAATCACACAGGTTCGAATTCCACTGCGAATTGAAATTTTTGAATGATTAAAAAAATCACATTTATGTTTCATCTTGAACACAGGGGCGCTTAAAATTAATTTAATCAAGTAATTTCAAATGACGCATTGATGAAAATATTTAAGACACATTTAAAACTAAATACTCCGTTTACTTTGAATTGTTCTTATATTTAGACAAATAAATGAAACTAATTGATAGTAACATTGGCATGTCAAAAGATTCAGTACGAATATAACGTAAATGCTTCAAAATAGGATCCTGAAAGTTGGGAATGAAAATTTTAAATTTTTATAGCGATAAAAACCGCAACAAAAATTTAATTTAAGGAAATCGTTTTAATAATTTTAATTCAATTTATTATAATATTTTTAAGTGTAATATTTGTAAGCAATTTTAGAAAATGCTTTTTAAATTAATGTGTCATGTTCATTGAAGTTTAAAAATATTTATTTAAAGTAAGAAAAGGAGAATTACAGTGAATTTGAATTTCAATTTCAGTGTTTTGTCATCACTAGCTCCATCTTACAAGTGAAACGTTAAAGCTTTCAAGTTACTGTTGTGCGACTCATGCCATCTAGTGGAATTTTCCAGAACTACGCAGGCTTTAGCGCAAGTACTTTGGATAGAAATGCATAAAGTCGTAGCTAGATTCCGCTGTAATATAATTTTCAAATGTGGTAAATATGGTTCCTGTGATTTCTTTGCTCAAAATAAAAATAGAATAAGAGACATTTTTTTGTAAATTTTTGACCATTATTATGAAGAGATTTTTTAAACACAATTTTCAATATAGGTTTCATACAGCTTCACGAATCCTATATTTTTTACCGCATGTTGGATATTGTATTAAATTACAATTTCTTAAGATAATCATTAGTTATGGTAGGTCCAAATAACTAAATTGAAATTTATTATTTTAATCTTAACACTGTCCTTTTGGTAGTAACCAGACCATTTGTTTAAAAAAATAATTAAACTAATATTAAATAATTTTCTACGGATATATTTATATTACCTAGGTACCTACTGCGTAAGAATTAGTAATGGTAAAATTGGTGCAATGAATCTGAAAAAGTGATTAAAGAACAGTTTAAATAAAACGCATAATGATAAACCGAACTATAAATTAAAAAATAAATTTTAATATAAAGTAAGTTAAAGTGAAAATTAATATCGTTGTTAAAATAGTGAGGTATTTGTGCTACATTTTTGCAATCGATATTGACCGAAAGCAAAACAAAAAAAGTTTGTAAAATTCTAAAAGACCTCAATTTTAGATTTAAATATTTCGGGTGACTTTCATCTTAGATAAAAAAAATAAAGCGAATTTTAAAGTTTTTTTTTATAGTGCTAATCTCTGCACTTAAGATTGAACATTAAAACATGTAGAAAAAGTACGAAAAGATTGTCGCCGCTGTGGGAATCGAAACCACGTCTTCGGCATTCGCTCTGGCCACTGAGCTAAACGACTGATAGCCACAGCGGCGACAATCTTTTCGTACTTTTTCTACATGTTTTAACATAAAGCGAAGTTTACTAAAATTTGTTATTTTACAAGTGTAAATAATAGTAAACTAATTTTATAAGAAAAAAAGTGTTTGTTTCACAAACCACGGGTAATACTACGGCTATAGATACTAAATAGGTAATTAGTTGATGGTTTTTTTTTAAATATTAAACTGAACCTCGGCTCGAAACATGCATTTTTGTAGAGTCATCGTCACCACTTCGTAAAAGAAATCCCGACGTTCACGTAAAATTTTTTCAAATAGTAAAATATAATTTGTTATTTACGGAATATAAGATAGGTTATTTAAACTGTTTTCTTGAATACATCTACTTATATTATCGTTGAAGTGCCAAGGTAGTACATACAAACAAATAGGTGAAGATTATAAGGATAAAATTTGAAACTTTCTTTTTTTTCTTTTTACT